TTGATAAAATTTTAACTTTTATAATATATTTGCATATATTTTACAATAGTAAATGATAAAATAAACTAGTATCTACATATATTTTATGCATTCATGACATCTCTAACTTTTTCTTAATTTTTCAATATTTCCAGGATACACTTTTTGAGTTTTTTCAAATTGTTACAAACTCCAAAAGAATTTCCCATATAATAGAAAAAAATCTGCATATAAATGGAACTGTGCAGTTCAAACTTGTGTTGCTCAAGGGTCAACTGTATCGCCTTTTTTCATGCTATCAAGCCAGGGCTCATGGGTATTAACTGGATTAAAAAAAAAAGGAATCATTGATTAGTACTTCTCTTCTCTCCACTTTTTCCACTTACTTTCCTAATAATAGTTTGTTTATGCCAGTGTTCCCCAATCTATAGTCTTGTAGACACTAGTTCTAAAAATGTTAATACGTGTTCTAGAGAAAAAGGAGTTTTCTTGTCAAACAAGTTTGGGAAATGCTTCCCCTCTGAAAGATTACAGTGAATATTTAAGAAAAGGTTCCAACAGGTCCTTTAGTTAAGAAACCTATTTAAGCCAGTTTTCTATATTTAACTTACCACAAATCCTTTTTGTGGAACAAATTTGAGAAACATTTAACTTGGGCTAATATTAAAATGAGTGTATATTTCCTGAGCATGCTAGGTAAAGAGAAATGTCTAGTAGTCTGTAACTGAAAGAGGTTAATCTAGAATGAAGAAAGAGCAAAAACTAAGAGCTGATAGGCAGAAAACAGACTTCTACAAGTGGAAGGATCTTAACAAAATCTTAGAAGCCAGAATATTTAAGGTATTTTATTATAACACCTTAGGGAATAAATTAGATCATAAGAAGTATTTTTCCCCTAATTTATATTTTTTAATTAGAAATACAGTACATGCTCATTATAAAATACATGGAACATTCAGAAAAGTTTAAAAAAGAGGAAAAAACTATACAGTTGACACTTGAGCAACACATGTTTCAACTGCATGGATTCACTTATATGCGGATTTTTTTCCAATAAATGTGGACACTACTATAAATGTATTTTTTCTTTCTTGTGATTTTCTAAGTAACTTTTTCTTTTCTCTAGCTTACATATAATATACAAAATAAGTATTAATAGATTATTTATGTTATCAATAGGCTTTGCCGCCAACAGTAGGCTATTTAACAGTTAAGGTTTTGGGGAGTCAAAAGTTTTATGCGAATTTTCGATTGTGTACACAGGGTCTGGGGGTGGGGAATGTGGCCCCTAACCTCTCAGCCGTTCAAGGGTCAACTGTAATTCAATTAGGCAATCAATTTAGACATTTTGGCTTATTTCTTTGCAGTCTTTATTTTCCTATAAGAGTAATTTAGTCTAAAGAGAAAAATTTTAAGTTGTAAAGATCCATAAAAAAAAATGACAACCTACAGTTTTTCACTATATCATGTTTAAAAATGAAGCACATTACAGATGAAATAGCATGAGCTGCTAAATCATCAAACATGGGCTAAAATTAAGACTTTGTCTCTTACTAGTAACCTCGTTTTTAAAAATCTCATTTAGCTTCAGTATTTCCATTGTAAAATCTGGATAATGCCAGCTGCCTCACGTTATCACTGCCAGGATTAAAATGTATGAAAACAGCACACACTGAACTTAATGAAAATATGTATTAGCTGCCTACTCATAATTTTTATGTAAAAGCTAATTTCTAAAAATGAGGTGAGAAAGTGGCAAAATTAAGATTAAAAAGGAAAGAGATAAAACAAAGGCTATATATAAGGCTAGAAAATCTGTACAAAAACATACTTCAAAAAACTGAGGCTAAAAAGGCTTTAGCATTTCCAAAAATATCATAAAGCACTTTATATTACTGATAATAAACATGATCTTTAAAAATCTTTAAACACTTTAAATTCTTTAAAAATATAAGTATATATAACCAATCTTTATAAAACATTTGTAGTTTTTTTGCAAGCTAACAGTAAATAAATAGATTTCAACAGAAACAGTAGGCAAAAATTTTAACTGATTAAAGATTATTCTTTTCATTGCTTTATAATAATTATACATGTTTACATGTAAGCTTGGGAACAAGTTTTACCTACAAACTAGCATAAAGTGTCTCTAGACTTAAATAAAATTGCTTTTATGTTCTGGTATATTTTACTAAATTCTAAGTTTTATGGCCAACAGTTATGAGTTGGAGAGGCAGAGTGCTAAGACTATTTCGGATTAGAAAGCAAAAGACCTAGGGGTTTTATTTGTAGCTCTGACATCTGGTAGGAGTGTGACCTTGGACAAATCACCACCTTTCTGAATCTTGTTTTTTTCATCACTAAAACAGTGATTATAGCTGTCTTGCTGTGGTAAGGATCCAGTGTTAATGTAACAACACAAGACTCAAATCCTGGCTGTTTTTAGGGTAGGGGATCAAGGTACCTTAGGAGGTTTAACATGTGCAAATATTATTTACCTCACGAATAAATTTAAAAGGCAGGTAAGTTTCGGGACATTTTAGAGATTAAAAAAACCTTCAGATTTCTAAACTGCTTTCAATGTTATTTTTCCAATACTCTGTTCTCCTCTATTATTGTTATTCTCTCTTCCAGCCTTATCTTTCACAGGATTAATGATTTTTGTTTCAAGTACACATTTTATTGGAAAGGTATTTTTAAAATTCCTTCCATAGGGAAACACTGATATGCCTCTTGGATAAACTGACTACATATTATTTATATAGATAATACCACCATCAGTGGGATGATTATCATGTTTTCTCATTCTATTGCTCTTGAGAGCAACAATATTTGTGAGCCTAAGGGAGCTATGAGTGGTCACAATAGAGCGAAGCTAACTAACCTTCACTGCAATTGAATGTGCGACCTTGGCATCATTTTCAGTGAGTTCATTCAGCTACCCACCCCTATGAGACATGCACTATTAATAATAAATAAATCCATTTGGAAAATTTTGACAGCCACATCAGTGGCAACTATACTGGTTTTTTAAAAAAACTATGTGATCTTGAATAACCAGACAATTTTGCTATCATTTAAGTTACACACGTTTCATTACTGCACTATCATCTTTTACATCTTATTCGAATGTTTGTTTTCCTCAACAAGACCATGAACTCACTGAAGACATTAAAATTTGCAGGCATTTGACTGAAACAAACAAAACTGTGAAAACACACAGGCAAAAGACTACATCTTTTAATATTTGAAAAATGTTACTGAAAAATGACTTAAATCAACTACGTTTTAAATGAAATCTAAATGCCTACCCACAGTATCTCGTTAATAACATGAGACAATAATAATTAGTTTTATACATTAATGAGTATATTCTATCTACTTTAGCAATTCGATGAGGTTAGGTATTATATTTCAGAGATGAGGAACCTGACATTCAGACAAAGTAAAGAAGCATATTCAAGGTCACATGAGTAACTGTCAGTCAAAATTAAAACCTGGGGCTGCTTGACTTTAAGGCCTAAGCTCTTTCCATACATGTGAAATCTGTAAAGGAAAATTTTCTTTAACCTATGAATCAAACGGCTTGATTGCTAAGGCAGAGAGAAAGGACAATAGTGTGGACATCATTCACAATTTTAAAGTCACATGGTATTACAGATATTATAGTTAGGGTATTTTATTGCTATAACTCTTGTTCCAATTTGCAGATTTTTCTTATGATAAGCTCTGAATAGTACTACACTGAAATCTCATGATTTATTCAATACAGAGACGATTATTAGACTTCAGCTTGAACTCTACATTCTATCCAATATTTACTAGGATAAATGAATTATAAATCAGTCTATCTAAAAAAAAGAATGATCTCCAAATGACATTAAGTCATTCAGAATGAACTGTCTCAGCTATCTTTTGCTCTAGTGGGAAATCAACAATAGGTTGGTTATTTTCCCACAAATCCCAAGTTCATTTTCAGCCAATCACTCCTCCTCTTCATTAACATACCAAACCTCAGTGTCTAGCAGACCTATTTGGAGCCCCAGTACTCAGAATAATCCATTTACACAATGCCACCACGGTAAGAATACTGCAGTTTGTCTTAACTATGCGTTTGCAACCTTTCATAATGGAACAAAATTAAAAAATGGGGAAATCTCTACAATGGGAAAACGTCTCACTGATGTCAAAACCTAGGTATAATTGAGACTAGGTGGTGGGTACCACACACACACACACACACACACACACACACACACACACACAATCATTGTGAAGGTTTTCATCAGAGACCAGTCTACCAACATGGAGAACATGAAGACAAGCAAAGCATAAATTTAACGGCCAAGACCCTAGCACAGACCGCAAGGACCGAAGTATTCAACAAGATACTTTAGTTCTAGCTTCTCTTTTAGATCCAAATACGCACTTCAATGAACTTTAAGTGGGGTCTGAACAAGGAAACCCAAGTTACTTTCTTCTTAAGGGATATATGCAAAGAGTTCCAAAGATTAAGCATTAATGTACACACCATATCTTAAGGGACCGCAAACTGAGTAGAAATGAGAAGGTGAGTCTGCGAGGGATGCCAAAATGAAAGGCTTCAGAAGGGTCTCGTGATGCTCCCCTACCCTAAAAACAGCCAGGATTTGAGTCTTGTGTTGTTACATTAACACTGGATCCTTACCACAGCAAGACAGCTATAACCACTGTTTTAGTGATGAAAAAAACAAGATTCAGAAAGGTGGTGATTTGTCCAAGGTCACACTCCTACCAAATGTCAGAGCTACAAATAAAACCCCTAGGTCTTCTGCCTTCTAATCCGAGATAGTCTTACCACTCTGCCTCTTCTTCCTCTTTTCTAGAGAAGATGCCCAAAGATCTCGTTCTCCAGCCGGGGCCCAAGAAGGGGCTTGGACCCGTTCAGAGACCCCGATATGGTTGCATGTGGCGAGAGCCTGGAAGCCAGACGCGGACCCCAATCGGCAAGGCCAGGCAGCAACCACCCTTCCCCCACTCACCTTTCCGAGAGCAATTTAACTGGGGCTATCCGAGTAACTGCCGCCATCACCATCGCCATCGGTCTGGGTGCTAGCTGAGGTGGATAGGGGAGGCCCAGCCACTCCTGTACCTCATGTAGGTTCTAAAAGGCGGATGCCTCTCTGCAAGCTCCCACCCGTTGGCGCTGGGTTTTCGTCTCAGACGTCGCGGTCACCGCCTCCACTTGCTTCCCAGGAGCTGCCACCACTTCCGTGTTGGGTTTCCACCCTTTCTTCCTCACTCTCCCAGCAACCGGCTTTTTTCTTTGCAGCCGGCGCGAAGCTGACGTCACCAGCCCGCGACCAGACCAAGGTCCAGACCTGCGCTGAGCGTGGGCGGGCCGGTGCAGGCGCAGTGTGGCGAGTACGCCTGAGCGCGGGAAGCGGAGCGGCGCTGCGCGGGCGCTTGCGTCCCCTCTTTTTCTGTCTCGGATGCTCTGTCACCCCAGTGAGTCCTTCCTCCCGCTGCCGGTGCCAAAGAGAAGCGTGTCCTTTTCCTCGCTTGTTGTCCGACAGACTATCCGCTTTTTCCGGTTTGGGCTACTCGGGTGGGGAGAGGAAAGGGCTGTTGAGAGCGTGCCGGGGAGGAGACTAACCCCCTTTCTTACGCTTCAGGCCCTGGCTTTCCTCTCCTTTAAAATAACACTAGCTTTTATAAAACGTTTTTCGGGTAGATAAAGGAAAAGATGCCTGCCACACAGAAGCCGATGAGATACGGACATACAGAGGGACATACGGATGTCTGTTTTGATGATTCTGGGAGGTAAGGTATTTTGAGAAAAAAAAAACAAAACATTTCAGATGCAAATATTAGGACATTATTCTTATATGTCATGTAATCGGTCAGCCTAAAATGACTCATACAAATATAGAAAAATAATTTTTAAATCTTATTTAAAAATGGCACATATATTTTCTTTAGATTTATCGTTTGATTCGGACCGACATGGTAGTTTAAGGATATCAAAAAAGTTAACCAGTGTAAAATCTTGCTTCCAGGGGAGTTGGAAAAATGTGAGCTTTCCCCCATAGTTTCCCTTTGTCCTCTTCCTCTCTGCATCTCACATTATTAGTTATTTTGTCAAATCATTAGTTGCTTGTTTGTCAAATTAAGTGGCCCGTTCTATCTTTCTGGTATTTTATCCTTCCTTGATTTTCGTGATGCTATTTACTTTTTCTTTTGTTTTAAATTTTCTGATGGCTTATTTTCTAATTTATTTCCTCTGCTTGATTCCTAAATGGGGATGTTTTCCCGGATTATTCTGGTCTCTTTTATCTGTCTAAGTCCCATTTCTATGCAGCACTGTCCAGTTGTGTGGCTTCCACCAACACTTGTGTTGATTCATTCACTTAAAAATATTTGCATGTCTGTTCTGCTGAAGGCTAGAGATACAATATTGCAAAAAAAGCAACCTTTTCCTTCATTGACTTTGAGGTCTTTTTAGATTGACAGACATTGAGCACAAATAAATCACAAAAATAAATGTACATTTAGAATTATGCTTAGAAATATTAAGTGCTATATGCAATGATAAGCCTATATGAGAGGAAGTTGATCTAGTTTGAAGAGGCAGGGAAGGCTTCTCTGAGGAAGTGTTTCTTGAAATGAATTCTGAAGACTGAGTAGACATTAAGAAGTATAAAGAGATAGGTGGTGGCGGCAGTGGAGTAGTTGTATTGGCTTTTGAGGAAGACAGAACACCAAATGCAGAGGCCCACAGGGAATAGGGACTGTGTGGTATGCTCAAAGGACTGAAAGAAAGCTAGGGATGCTAAAAATGTAGAGAGCGATGCAGAGATTGGCAAGAGATGGATCTAGGAAGGGAGGCAGTGAGCATCATATCCAAGGCCTTTTGGGCTTTATTGAGGACCCTTGCTTTTATTATAAAATCAGTAGGAAGGTATTAAAGATTTGAAGTAGAGAGGACATATGATCAGACTCTTGTTTTTGAGAAGATACATGCAGGATGAATTGGTAAGGAACGGGAGTGGATGCAGAGAGACTATTAGAAGGTATTTGTATTAATCTGGTTGAGTGTGATGGAGTCTTGGACTAGATTGGACAAAAGTATGGAGAAAATAGGATGCATTCAGGAAATATTTAAAAGGTAAAATCAACAGCATGGATCACATAAGAATGAAGGAGAGAGAGATGTCCAGGATAACATCTGTGATTATGTTAAATTTTGGGAAATGAAGGTGTCATAGGCAGGTATCCAAAAAGCTTGGAGAAGAGCATACTTCAGAGGTGGAATGTGGATGGAAATTATGAGTTTGCATTCGGACATGGTTAGTGTAGGATTTCTTGAGTATCCAACTAGAGATATAGACAGCTAGATAAATGGGTCTAAAGCTCCGAGAAGAAATATGAACTCAAAATAGAAATCTACATCTTTACTTGATATCTCCTGGAATTCAGGAATGAGGTCCAGGTTAGAAATCTAAATGCGGGAGTTGTCAATATAGAGATGATGTTTAATGCTATGAACTTGGATGAAATCACGTAGGGAGAGAAGGAATGTAGTTAAGAAAAACAGTTCAAGGGCTAAGCCCTGGGACATTCCAAAACATTTAGAGATCGAGTTAGAAAAGGAGGAACCGGTTAAGGAGACTAAGGGAAAGACTAAGAAAAAGGTAGAAAACCAAGATCCAAGAATGCTGTTTAGTAGCCAAATGAAGTAAGCATTTTGAGGAGGAAATAATTAGGTATGTCCAATGCTGCTGATGGGTCAAGTCAAGGACTGAAAATTCACCAGTAGCTTTAGTGATGTAAAGGCCATGGATGATCTTGAGCTTTTTTTATGGAGTGGTAAGAATGAAAAGCTTGTTTTAGTGTATTCAAGAGAATGGAAAGGGAGGAATTGGAGTTAATATGACACTCAAAGGTTGAGGGTAGTCGGATAGGAGTGTGGGAATGCTTTAAGGTGAGAGAGATTATAGCATATGTATGAGTGGAGATAATCCAATAGAGTGGGATAAGTTGATGTTATAGCAGAATGAGGGAGAGTTACTAGAGTGATGTCCCTGAGTAGGTGTGAGAGGCTAGTATACAGTGCATAAGGAGAGATGAGCCAAACACAGGAGGACCATAGTCAAATTCATAGGTGGAGGGAAGGAGCACCTAGGAAGTTTGGGGAGAACATGTGGACAGTTTCTGTAAATGGCTTTTGTTTTCTCAGTGAAATAGGAAGTGAAGTCATTAGTTGAGAGTGGGGAGGAGATGGAGATCTACAGAAAGGAATATATGAGATAGATGGTTAGAATGGGATTTTTTTTTTAAATTGTGAAATAGACATTGAATCCCTTTGGTTTAAAATACATCTTCAATGATATAATTAAAAACAATAAGTAAGACTATCAATTTCGTAAAACATAAAATATTTTTATATGGCCCGTGTCTCATGATATCTTTAAGAAGGGAAGGAAAATTGAGTGAACTAGGAAATATAGTTGGATTACTAGGCAGCACTAAAGGCCTACTTCAGATTAGTGATCCTGAATTTAAAATAAGACATAATCCGTTGATGTATTTTTCTCCAGCCATATTTAGCTCTGCAAGTGTAAACTTATTAATAGGCAGAGAGTTGGATTTAACCAGAGTTGAGGTTTTGCCTGGTAAATATGACAAAGTGAAAGGGGACCAGGGCGTTTGAGGTGATCCAGAGGAGCGATTTTAATGACAGACTATGGAATTTAAGCCAGATTAGGAGAGATGTGAAAACTTGAAGGGAGAGACAGTATAAAGGTAGTTTCAATAGATTGCAGATCCTAATAGAATTAAAAAACTTGGAGTTACAAAATTAAGGGTATAAGGTGAAAAGATAAGTGGTTGAAGTTGAAATTATGAAGCAGTCGTAATATTGGTAAAGACAAAATCTAGGCTGTGACCTCAGGCATCTGAGATAGGGTAGAGGACAAGATCAAGTATCACAAGGTTTCATATACATGGATATTGAAAACACTAAGAATTATTATAGGACCAGTGTTGGAGAATAACAATGAGCCTTGTTTCAAAATACTTAGGAAACTAGGGGGATTTCTTTTTAAGGATCTGTACGTGGTCTGATGACAGTTTCAAGCTTTTTTTTTTTTTTTTAAAGAGAGAGTGCATGAAGTGGTAATGAATGAAGTGCAAGGAAAGCCCACCTTCAGACTCCAGAGAGATGTGGAAAAGAAATCAGCCACCACTTAGAGCTAAAGAGGAAGCAGTGTCCTCAGAGGAATGTTCAGGAAAAAAGCTGAGGATATAGAGATTTTGCTGGTGCCTGACCTGTACCCTGAAACAGCAAATGAATTTCAAAATTAAGTCATTTGCTGTTTCAGCTTTTAATGTAAAATTTGTCTAATTCTTACTTGCTTTTGTAGGGATGAATTTCAGCATCTTTCTGTGCATAAGCTTTATTTTCTTTAATTTTGTTTCACTACCAAGCTTCAAAGGCTTAAGTTGAATGCTTTGGTTAAAGTTTTCTAACTGATTTTGAACAAAATGCAACTAAAATTTAGAGGATTTGTTTCCAATAATAATAGCAATCACAGTACCAATAGTAATAAGAATATCATTACAGGACACAGATTTTATAAAGTCACTATTCAGAGGCTCATATATTTTAAAAATATAATTGATGATAGGCAGCAGAGAAAGAATCTGTAACGGTGAAGTATTTTTGTGTATTTAACATCAATTTGTTACAGAAATGTTCATTCTGGGTATAAAGTTATCTAAAAATTTGACAACTGTGGCTTCTGTTTTGCTTAGTACATTATTACAGTTCATTTGGGCACAATTATGAATTATAATTACAATTCCAAGTACATTTGTGTTTTATAGATTAGTAAGAGCATTGTTTTTGCTACAGTACTGTGCTCTACAACAGTGTATATTATAACTGTAAAAATTAAGAATTTTATCATTAGCATTGAACTTTTCAAATGAAGTTGAAATTCCCAATAATGTCAGATATTTCACTTTCAATAGAACTTCCAGATGCTTTGTTTCCATTAACTGAAGAGAAAACTAAACCATTATTGGAATTAATCTGCTGACTTTCTATTTAAAACCACTGATGACATTGATATGAAACCAGTATCATTTAACTGTTTGAAAAGTTCTTTTACTAAAGAACACATTAATAACTATCATTTCATTTTTTTATACTTGCACTAGAAAATTTAGAATGAAAAATGAACAAAATTAAAATAGAACAATTGTCATTTGTTTTAATGCTGCACTGTCCAGCATAGTAGCCACTAGCCACGTGTGGCTATTTAGATCTAAATTAATTTAAATTAACTAAATTAAAAATTCACTTCCTCTGTTGAACTAACTGCATTTCAGTTGCTCAGTAGCCAGAAGTAGACCATTTCTGTCATCTCAGAAATTTCTACTGAACAGCACTGAATTTTTATGAAAAGTCATGCTTGACAAAATGCAAACTCACTTTCTGAATTTGTAGAAGCATAATTTTCAGGCAATCTCAAGATAATTATTAGGAAGTAGATGCAGATGCTTCTTTAGGAGTCCTGCATCTTCTGACTTTCCTGTGGTTAGTGTTGCTATAGCTGTAGTAAATGTCAACTAATAATTTGTTCAAGTTACACTTTCACTATCAACTGCTTGAGAAGCAGAAATATAGTGCTACTTTTTTTTAGTATTTACTTTTTTATTGAACATGTACTTGATGTATTTTTCTCCATTGCTACCGAAAGGTTTTTTTGTTTTTTGTTTTTTGGTTTTTTTTTTGCAAAATTTAAAAAGCATAGCCAATAATAAAATTAGTATTAGTAAATGGCAATAATACTGCAGGAAGAATGTTCATACTACTCTAAAAGTTCTTCAAAGGACTGCTTAACTATTTCTTGCCTATAGTTCTCATTAATTCCACTATATTTCACTATAATTTGCCGCTGCCCTACCAACTGGCACCCGTGCTTCTTTCTGTACATCTCCTGTGTGCACCTGCCTGATACACCAGATAGTTTGTAGGGATGGCAGTATGAAATACTTCTCCCATCACCATTGGATACTGAAAAAAATTACTTTGCTTAGGGTCTCATGTCTGACTTCACTTTGGTTTTTATCAGTTAACACCTGTTGTCTTTGGAAAGATGGGTTATGTTGCGTCAAGAAAAGAATGGGAAGGGGAGATGTGTTATCACTGATTGTCTTTCAAATTTACCTAAGGTGAGATCTCTTCATTGCATGCGTTACGTTACTGAACAAGATCATGACAGAAGCAGGAAGTGCAAAGAAGGGTTCTATCAAACCCACTTCAGCCAAGTTTGATACAACTAATATGAATAATGTTTTAAAGTGAAAAATCGAAGACAAACGTGAAACCAACTGTTACATAGTACAGAAATGTCCTCAGCAAACAGACTTATGTCCTCCTATTTATTTCCTGTGGAAAGGAATCCAAGCTCCTTACTCTGGCATTAAGGTCATCCTAAATAGAATGACCCAATCTACACTTTCTTTCTCAATTTCCTGGACTGTGCTCCAGGTAAACTGGCCCCCCCGCCCCCCATGCTTTACTACACATTTTGGTTCATGTTTCATCTGTTTAAAACTGCCTTTTTCATCTATCTTAGTATAGCTATTCCTACTTGTCCGTTAACTTCCCAGTGTAAATACTACCTTTCTGATTTTCCAAGTGGGAATTAATCTTTTTCTTCTGAACACCCATAGTTCTTTATGTGGCTTCTCTTTGCCATTTTCCAAGTTATTTTTATATTTTATTTGTTTTTGTATGTGTCTAGATAGTACACATACCAAATGAATAAAAGCACTTGGAAGACAAGGTTTAAAACAAGATTTAAGAGATACAGATATCCATTTACATAATTAGCTTTGCATAATTGAACTCTTGCATTCATTCAAGAAACATTTATCAACGCTTCTATTTATCAGAGACTGTTAGAGCTAGAGACACAATGGTGAACAAGGTAGACCTGGTCCCTGCTGTTGCAAGAGATACACATTCGTCTTTCTTACATTATTACAAATAATATAAAGACTTTCATGCCAGGGAAGAACTGTAGAAAACATTAAACTCACCTTGTATTTTACAGCATAGGAGGTTAGCAATTTTTGTTATTAAGGCTTATGAATGTAAAATAAAACATACCTCAGTTTTATTAAAAACAACAACAACAACAACAACAACAACAACTAGCATTCCAAAAAAAATAGGCCTGAAACTGGATGACTTTTTTAATGAGTTTTTCCTTCACAGTTGTATTGTGACTTGTGGAAGTGATGGTGATGTGAGGATTTGGGAAGACTTGGATGATGATGATCCTAAGTCCATTAATGTTGGAGAAAAGGCATATTCATGTGCTCTGAAGGTATTAAAAACAATTATAGCAACTGATCTGAAATTGTACTACCATGTGATATTTTTATGCTCGGATGAAAAATGTTTTTGTAAGTTTTGAATATAGATGTACCTTTTTGTTTGTTTCTCATGAAATAATATTTTAAAATTTATAATAATGCCATAACTTGCCCCACATTTTTACAGGTAAAATCTGAATGGTTTATTAAAGGTGATTAATGGATATTTATGGTGAACCAATTAAAAAATAGATAAGAAAATGTACTTTTAAGAGGTTTAAATGTTCTTTTTTTTTTCCCTTTGTTGGAAAACTAGCATTTTCAGGTTTTTAGTTCACTAATTCAGATAATTTGAGAAATTGTTCTAGAGAAGAGGAATGCTTCATTAACTTTTTCAAGATATTTACATAATTTCACTTTTCTAATTTATATAAGGTAAATATGGGAGTGAAATGTAGATTACTTGGAGAATGTTTTCAGAAGGACTTTAAAAATCAGATAACTAAAAACCACGAAGCTTTTTATTTGTGATGCATTTTAAGTTGAGTGGATTGTATTCACACAGAAAAATTTTCCATAGATCTCATATTTTTTTCAAATTTAGGCTCATTGAGGTAGATAAAATGGTTTTTTGATACTTTAGATATTCTTTTTAAAATGGTCACATATAATGGAAAATACATTCTTAGGAGAAAAAAATGACCAAAAATATAAATGAGCAACATATATTAAATTCAAGCTACATCTCAATAAGCAAAGAAATTCAAATTAATAATTTTTTTTTTCTCTATAGGATTGGCAAGGATGAAAAATATTGCTAATCCCAGGGGTAGTGAGAGCTTGGAGAAGTATTTATGAAAGAAAAACACTCTTTTCCTGTTTTGTTTGTGTTTTTGTTTGTTTGTTTGTTTTACTCACACTGCTACCATGCTCAGGACACTTCTGCACCAGATGTGCTGAGTTTTTCCCACATCAAGTAATTCTCAGTAACACCACCTGAGTGTCCTAAATTCATTTCACTTCTGACACGAACTGGAGTTAGTGCAGATCCCACAGGTTAAGGGCTGAGTCCCATGTAACTGTCCCCCACTTCAGATACCAATCACAAGTAGGTTCCCAGGTGACGCCCAATTTCCGTCTAACTTAGCTACAAATTGCAGGTTCCTGTGACCCTCTGCCCCTTGGATTATTTCATTTGCTGCAATAGTTCACAGGACTCAGGGAAATACTTATGTTTACCAGTTTATTATATAAATAAGGGTATGATAAAGGATACAGATGAACAGCCAGATGAAGAGATATGGAGGGGAGGTCTGGGAGAGTGCACAGGACTTCCTGTGGTACACAGAAGTTTTTGTCCCTGTGGAGTTGGGGTATGCCACCCTTCCAGTAAGTAAGTACATGGATGTGTTCACAAACCTGGAAGTTCCTCAAACCCCATATTATTGGGATTGTTATGGAGGGTTTATCACATGGACATGATGGATTGATTATCAACTCTCTTTCCAACCCCTCTCCCCTTTAGGAAGAATGGGGAGTGGGGCCGAATGGTCCAGCTTTCTAATATATGGCTTGATCATTCTGGTGACTAGCTTCCATCCAGAACTATCCAGGAGCCCAGGAAGAATGCCTTTTAGAACAAAAGACACTCCTATCACTCAAGAAATTCCAAGGGGTTTCGGAGCTCTGTGTCAGGAACCAGGGTCAAAGACGAAATATTAGAACAAAAGATGTTCATAGTACTCTTATCACTTAGAAAATTACAAGGCTTTTAGGAGCTCTGTGCCAGAAACTGGGGGCAGAGACCAATATATATATTTTCTGTATTTTACAGTATTATACACAGTTGTATGAACATTTTTTAGAGTAAATAGATACTACATATCAATATTAGAATGCACACATTTCCTTTTTCTCCATGTCTTTGTATCTCAGTTCTCCCTGCTTTTTCTTATAAGGACACCAATCATTGTATTTAGATCCTTAACTCGTTACATCTGAAAAAACCCTATTTCTAAATAAGGTCACATTCAAGGTGCCTGGGCTTAGAACTTAGACAGGTTTTGGGGGGGTTACTGTTCAACTCACTACAAGTACCTCAGTGCTACAATGTTTTCTTTGGCTTTAGGAATGGAGTTTATGGGACTTCAGTGAACTGGCATTACCAAATAGCCATGCAAAGTTGACAATTTTGCAATGTATTTAATGTAAACGCTTATAAACACTAACTTCTGTTTTTAGATTCAGTAGTACTGGGAAGTATAGTTAGCTGCTTTATTTCAGAACAAAGTGGAGAAAATAACACTCTCCAAAAACTATTAAACTGGGATGAGTCAATATATTTGTGAGTAGTAATAGTTAATGCTTGCAAGGTATTTTATATTGTCTAGACCTTTGAACAAAGATATGGAGAGGTATGTGGAATTATCCCTATTTTATTCTCAGGAAAACCAAAGCCCTGAGAAAGGTCAAATGACATAGTAAGAAACACAATGGGCTGGGTTCCATTACTTCTAACCTACCAAGGAGAATGGTTGACCAGATCCTGACCAGACCCCCGATCCTTTGTTTGGATTCTTTTTTTGAAAAAACATTTTACCAGTGGACAAAGTTCTGATAGTGATTTGGTTTCCCAGTACATTTGTTGGAAAATGACTTCGAAGCAAGCCCTTTATTCAGATCTCCTGGGTGAGTGAGTACCATTATACACTTAAATATGAATAGAAGGCTAGTTAACTTGTTATTAAAGAATAACCAAATTCTTTACTAGAGCTAAGTGAGGATGCTTAGTCAGTATTCTACTAGGGAATCTGCAAGAAAAGCACAGCCAGGTTGCAAAATTTCTGTACATGTACACACATAAATAGTTGGTGTTTTCTGCAGTTTTGCCAAAGAACACTTAGCATCATCAATGTTTTGAGTTGGTTATAGTTTTTTGTTCTCATCATATTTAAATTATTGTTAGCTTATCTTCAACATTACGAATTTAGTTTATTGTGTACTGTTTACTTACAGGAGTTACTAAACAGTATTTTTCACCAATCTTCCAGTAATTGGACTTGAAGATAAATGTATATTACAGTTCAAATTTGAATTATCTGCAATTTGAACAGATGTATATACTGTCCCAAGTTTTGCTATATCGTAACACATCATTGTTATCACCAAGTTCTTTTTCCATTGGAGCGAGAATAGTTGCTATAAATGGGCTGAAGGTCCTAAGTGTGCAAATATGGCTGAGACCTATTGCTATTTGATGGAATATATTCATTAACGAATTTCAGTAGTTTGTTTCTCTTGGCAGTTATCATTTAATCTAAATTAATGAATTGACCATATGATTTATCAAAGCTTGTATAGGATTGGTAGACCAAATTTGTCCATTGGGACTTAATCCCTTTTGGAGAAGTAATAAAATTAAAGTGCTGGGGCAAATCCTTGGTTTTTTGATTCTTAACTAAAATCTCTGCAAAGTAGTGGTATCTGCTGATCATTTGCAGGGCCTAAAACTTTCTTTTTATTTAGTGTTTTTAAGACGGCACGGTGGATTCTGCGTTTAGACTTTACCCTACCCAAAAAGATATGATTTTGTTGTGCAAACTATAGTGTGGCCATTGTGGCCATCCTTCCAATGTGCTCTTCCGTCACTGAGACTAGCTATGTTTTCTCTGAAAAGCTTTCCTGCATCTCTTTTTTAATGACTCTTGGGAATCCATAAAAATACTAATTAAATATTTTTCTCACCAGAAGTAAAAGAAAATCAGAGGCTACAAGTTTGGCTGGTGAAGGGGGAATTAAGTTTTCTAAAGGTAGCAAATAAATTTTTCTTCTAAGTACGTATTTCAGGAAAGTTATACATTGATAATTTGTCTCTTGATGTGAACTACATTTGTAAGCTTTTTGTTTTAAGGATTTTTAACTGTGGAGAGACTCCCAATTTATTCGGATTTGTCTTGCCAATGTTTCTTACCTTTATTTTTCCTTTAGAATGGAAAATTGGTTACTGCAGTATCTAACAATACTATTCAAGTCCACACATTTCCTGAAGGAGTTCCAGATGGCATATTGACTCGCTTTACCACAAATGCAAACCATGTGGTCTTTAATAAGGATGGTGCAAAAGTTGCTGCTGGATCTAGGTAAGGCTCTTTGATATCAGGAAAGGAAATAATGTTAGAACAGAGAGGCTTTACTAATTGGTTTCAGGGTAACATTTTCAGATTTCCCTTTCCACTTCTTTTGATTTTTTTGTTCATTTAATTTTTATATTCAAATCTAGTAAGGTTTTGAGGACAAACTTTTGCTTCTTGTGACTTGAGATATGTATATTCCTTGCTTTAAAAGACTGGGAAAAATGATACTTTGATACAAAGTTTTAAAAATTATTTCAGGTAGAACCTGGCCTGCACAATCAGAATTTTTGCTGTTTTCCTCGATGTTTATTTGTCATAGAAAAAAATGTAATTGGTGAGTTATTGAGGTAGAGTAAAAGGAATAGTACTTTTAAAATGGTTGTGATTATAATTAGATCGGCAAATAATAGAAGCCTAAGATGTAACTAAGGAAGCCATTTAGGAAATATTTGTATTTTAACATAATGAGAAATCTTGACTCGTGTTTTTAGCATTTTTATAGAGCCAAACTAAAAGGTAAATCATTAAATTTGGGTGTCAGGTTTCACAAGTTGCTATAAAGAAATTATGACATTTATTCTTGTGATTTAGAAATATTTAGGTCATAGCTTTTAGGAGAGTCTTTTGTGTTAGCATTTGTTCATGTATATTACTCTTCCTGTTCATAGTGACTTTCTAGTCAAAGTTGTGGATGTGATGGATTGCAGCCAACAGAAAACATTTCGAGGACATGATGCCCCTATTTTAAGTCTTTCTTTTGATCCTAAGGACATCTTTCTGGTAATAATTTTTTCCCCTCTCTTTTTGCATTTTTCTTGAATGTTTTAAATTATAAGAGAATTAGCAGAAAATTTCACCCAGTTTAATTTATTACTTGAACCAGTTATCATATAGTATTATGGCTGTGACTGTAGAGAAATCTCTTGTTTTTTTCCTGCAGGCCTCAGCTAGTTGTGATGGATCTGTCAGAGTATGGCAAATTTCAGATCAGGTAAATTCATCATTTTGAATTTAAAACTTTTTGCCCATTTCTGTCATATATTATTACATATTGTATTATTTAGCCAAATTAATTATTCTTTTTCTTTATAGTTTCTTTTGAGTAGCATTAAATATCATTTTTGTGATCAAATTCACAAAATAATATAAAAGTAAATAGTTTGAAGATTAATTGCTTTTGTACTGCACTCAATCACAAGGGAAATGATAGATTTATATTTCATTTTTAGGTTTTGTAAATCAATGGGGGAAATTCAATTATTGCATATTTACAAACAAACTACCATCTGTTGGGGATACAAAAATAAAGCATAGGCCACACTTGATTCAGAGTCTTGAAAACATCTTATTCTAATCGAGACTGATGAAAGTTTTAAAGGAGGTATGAATAAAGTGCTCTCCAGATTGGCTGAGGGAACAATTAATTCTTCCTCAGGCGATCAGAGAGGTCTTGGCATTTCTAGAGATGTGGCCGATGAGAAGAATAACCCCCGTAGATATGCCTCAGTAGCCACAGTTCCTTCCCCTCATTATTGAACTATTTAGATTTGACTTTGACACCATAATTTTTTAGAGAACGCTGAAGTTCATTTTTGTAGACACTTTAAAATTTTAATATATTGGATTTGGGTTTGTGTGTGTGTGTGAATGTTTATTCAATGAGTATGTTGTTTGCTATTCTACATAGGAAATACTCTTAATTTAATTATTTAAGACTTGTACTCTATACCTCTGAAGGACTTAAAGTAACTTAGATAATTCAGACATTATAATTAGATTAAAGTGAATTAAGTTGCTTTTTTCTGAACTATATATCAATTTGAAGAATCCACTTATTAAATGTATTCAGTTCCTCATATTTGGGGGGGGGGGATTTTCATAAAAGAAAATACATTTTCTTTTTTAAAAAACCAGACATGTGCTGTTAGTTGGCCACTGCTACAAAAATGCAACGATGTGATAAATGCAAAATCCATCTGCAGACTTGCTTGGCAACCAAAAAGTGGGAAGGTAAGTGACTCTTATTTTTCAACCTTTTAAAAAATTATTTGTTTCAGTTCTTATCAACTTTTAATGTTAGGATAGTTTTTAAATTATAATTCTTTCATTTAGATTATAAATTTTACAGCCCCAAGACAACTAATTAATATTGAAATGCTTTAACAGACATTTCAACTTTTTAAAGATTCTTTTTAAAGAGTATATTTCACATGAATGAACTTAATTTTATATTTACATTCACGTTTAGTGGAACAACTCAGGAACAGTCTTGTTATGTCCACTCTTACCGCTGCTATTTAACATTTTAGAAGTATTAGCTGATACATTTAGATGATGGAAAGACATGAGAGGTTTCAATGGAGGAGGGAGAATGCTCATCTACAAATGAAATGTTTGTGTATGAGGAAATCCCAAGAAAATCAACTGAGCGGAAAATAATAAGAAAATTCAATGAGGTAGCTGTAAGCCAAATTAATATTTGAAACTAATAACAATCCTCTGTACAAACAATAGCCATTTAGAAAATGTGGTAGGAGAAAATGGTACATTTACTATTATTTTTAAAAAAATTGTCAAAAAAGATAAAATAACTGGGGATAACTTAGTAAGAAATATGAAAGATGTGATAAAGAAAACATTAACATACTATCCAGAAAAGTTAAATAGAAAACTATATCTCATGCTTTAAAAGGAATTTTTGATATAAATATTTAGTTCTTCCCCAAATTAATCTAGTTTTGACAACATTCAAATATAAAATATCAGAAAGATGTTTGGGGAGACCAAATAATGCTGATTCTAAAGTCCATGTGGAAAACTAAAAGTCTTAAAAAAAGTGAAGTCTAATCCAGTCAGATATAACATATTATGATGCTATGGAAATTAAAACTTTGTTACTGACTCATGAATACACAGATATCTATTAAACAGAGAAATGAATCCAAAGGTTGGGAAAAGGAGATTAAGTAAATATATTGGCAAAGGGCATAAGTACCTGAAGGTGAGAATCATTGAGAACCATCTTGGAGGCTTCCTACCACATGGTATATCTCTGTAAAGATGCACACATCTGCTACATTCTTTCAACTTTTCTGTAAGTGTGAAAATTTTCAGAAAAGATTAATAAATTTAACAATATAAAAAAGTATTTTTGTATGATAAAATGTATTTCAATGTCAAAGGACAAATGGCAAACAGACAAATATTTGAAGCAATATGACAAAGCTAATTTTATTAATATACAGAGTTCTTTCAAATCAGTAGGGTTCCAATAGAAAGAGGGACAAGACATGAGAAGACAGTGTACAGAAAAAGATACACAGATAATTTTTAACATGTAAAAATATATGTAACTTTTCATCCTAAAAAATACAGAGTGAAGCTATAGTGTTAGTCTATATTTCATTCATCAGATCCTGCTCAAAGATTAAAAGTCTGATTAAATTCTATGTGGAAGAGGATGTGGTCATTCTTATCAGAATAAAAGACCAATAGTACTACTTCTAGGCATATATGAATGTTCATTAATAGGGAACTAGTTAAATAAATTGCCGTATTTCTGAAATAGAATACTTTATAACTGCTAGAATGAGGTATACCTGTATGTTTTCACATGGAATAACCTTCAGATATATTGAGCAAAAAACATCAAGCTGTAGAATAGTAGATATGGAAGAATGCTGGTGTTTATTAACTGTATGTGTGTTAACTTGTATATATGTACATATACATTCTTATATAGTCTATGCTTATATTTGCCTTAGGGAAGTGGAAATAGAATTTAGGTATTGGAGGGATACTTCTTTGTCTCGTAAGTTTCATAAGTGACACTATGTTCTTTTTTAAGAGTGTACCTTATTATGCATTAAAGTAATAGTTGGGGAATCCAGTATGGGTTTTTTTTGCTTATAAACATTAATCTGATTAATTAAAAATTGATTAACATAGTTTTCTTGTTTGTAAAGTTTGTAAAGTCTTGTTTATAAAGTTTTCGTTATAAAAATGGGAAGAATACCATTTTATTTTTTCTACTAATCTATTTCTTTGGAAGAACACATAGGAAGATAAATTTCCTATTCTTAAGATTTTCAAAGTATTCTGGCTCTATTTCTTTCCTTTCAATAAATGAGATGAATTTTTAGATTGAAAGGGCTTAGATTCCTTAAGAAGTAGTATTAAAATTACTAGTACTGATTTTCAGTTAAAAAAAGTCTTTGCTTATCAAAATTTTAAGTAATTTTCTGAGTTTTGTTAGTTGCCAGTTAAGATATAAATTTGCTCTTATGTTTTGTAAACTTATTTGGATGAAAGTTCACTTTTTTCCCCTCTTTAAATTTAATTTAATGTAAACTCTTGTTTAAATTGTTTATCTTTCCTAATAGTTACTGGCAGTTCCTGTGGAAAAATCTGTTAAGCTGTATAGAAGAGAAAGTTGGAGTAATCAATTTGATCTTTCAGATAATTTTATCTCTCAGGTAGGTTTTGTAAATGACATTTTCAGTAGGTTAAAGAGAATATTTAATGTATACTTTGCCTAAATAATGTTGCAGTTAATATTTTTGGAAATGGAGAACAACTCCACACAGTTTCACATGTGTTCACCTTCTGTCTCCTCAGCCTTTCTTCATTTAGCCAGTAACTGGACAGTAGATAGGTCTTTGCTAGGTACTATCCGACCTTTCTTTGTGAAATTTGATAAGACAATCTCTTAATTTATAAGAAGTCAAATTTAATCCTAGCATAGTATTAGAACAAGTTATTCTCAAATTATGAGTAATTAACCTTTATTGTTAAATGAGTTTCACTGAGACTTGTGATCATAGACTTGAGAATTTTAGAGCAGAAAAGGTGGTTGGTGTATATTCTCTCTCTCTCTCTCTCTCTCTCTCTCTCTCTCTCTCTCTCTCTCTCTCTCTCTTTCTTTTTCTCATTCTCTCACTTATTCACTCACACCCATTTTGCAGTTAAGAAAACAGAGGCCCAATAAGTCATCAATGGCTTACTAAGGTTCATTTTATTTACTAGTTCTCTTCGTCTTGATGGTGACTGCTAAGAGAATACCTTGTGCTATCTTTCTTTCCAGGATAATAACATTTTTTAGATTTTGCTTTTAAAATTGTGTCAGTATAATTTTCTCATAAGATAATAGCTTCTAGCGGTAGTTGAAAATTACTGAAAAAGGAAGTTAAAATATAAGCAAACTTAGTCTTTCCTTTTGTATGTCAGATCTATTTAAGTCACGTAGCATACATAGAATAAGGGTTATAAAAATTTGAACTAGTAATGCGAATGTTTTGTTTCAAATTATACAAAATTGTTATTTATTCTTTTTCTTTATAGACCATCAATATAGTAACCTGGTCTCCTTGTGGGCAATATTTAGCTGCAGGGAGTGTTAATGGTTTAATTATAATTTGGAATGTGGAAACCAAAGATTGCTTGGAAAGGTATGATTCAATATATCTTGTCTTTTTTTGCTTATTTCAATTAGGTTTTTGTTTGTCTTATGAAATATTACAGATCTGTAATTATTAGATTGTGAAAATGCAAACATACAGCTATTAGTTTGTCAAAAGTTGTTTAACCTTTTCTAATTAAAATTTACCTAAAGAAATCTATAGTTTATATTTTTCTTGATGGTGTTTTAAGAACTTACTTTTTAATTTTTAGGGTGAAACATGAGAAAGGGTATGCAATTTGTGGCCTAGCCTGGCATCCTACTTGTAGTCGCATAGCTTATACTGATGCGGAAGGAAACCTTGGGCTCCTAGAGAATGTTTGTAATCCCAATGGAGAAATATCAAGCAGTAAGGTAATGAGTATTGTAGAACAGTTTCTTCAAAGTCTTTCTGTAGTCATATGGATTTGGAAAACACAACAAACTACTTTCTTGGAAAATTACAATTTATATTACTACATTAGATGCTCAGTAATGATAATAGTAAAGAAAACTGTTTAAACTTTTTTAACTTAATGTTTCCCAAATATATTTTACTAAGAAACTTTTTCCCCTCCATATAATGCCTATTAATATTCCTTGACTTTCCAAGGAATACCTTTGTGAAATACTATTTTACTATCCTGGTGTTCTGGGCATTATTAGTTAAATACAGGCCTACCTCAGACATATTGTAGGTTCAGTTCCAGACCATGGCAATAAAGCAAGTATCACAGTAAAATGAGTCACACAAAATTTTTGGTTTCCTAGTTCATATGAAAGTTACATTTATACTATACTGTATTCTACTAAGTGTGCAATAGCACTATGTATAAAAAACAATGTACATACCTTATTTAAAAATACTTTATTGTTAAAAAAATGCTAACCATCTTCTGAGCCTTGAGTGAGTCGTAATCTTTTTGTGGATGGAAGGTCTTTACCTTTAATTTGTTAAAAACACCACATCTACGGAGCACAATAAAACGAGGTATGCCTGTAAAATGTTTTATAGATAAAAATTAGAGTTAATAACTGTAACTTAGTTTAGACTACAAACTTTTTTGGCTCCGAATTAGCCTTAACTCTTAAGAGCTCCCCATATACCTTTTATGCTTAGCTATGCGGCCTTACTGAAAGCTTGTGTTAAACAGGCCACTTTGTTTTATACCTTCTTGTGTTTTGTTCACTATTCCCCGTGTCTGGCAGATATACCTGTTCATATTTCAAGTCCAGTTAAAGATTGCAGACTTTATACATTCATTTATTTCTGTTCAGATACCCAATAACCTGAAATCCCCATCAAAGGAATTTTTAAAAATGTACACTCCCATAAGTCTAAGGAAGACAGTCGAAGTGGTGATGGTAACAAAATTTTGGAGGCTAGAAACAGAAGGATGATTGGAAACTAACTTTAGCTTCTTTAGCTTCTCAAAAAGTTGAATCCTAAGAGCTCAATGGAGGAAAGCTGAGATACAACTCTGTCTGCCTGGCTGACTCTTCAAAGATTCAGAATTTTGGTAGCACTAGGCACTTCTGAAAGTGGAGCTGAAAACACAGGAGGGTTGGTTTAATAAGCAAGTAGATTCCTCCATTCTCAACATCAGTGTGCACAGCTATGTAACTCCCTTCTCTCACCCCCATCCACATTCTGGCAGAATGTTGGAGATTTCTTCTTTAGAAAAGGTAAAGGAGACATTGTGTACAGCTGAGTGATTTTGGCTGAAGGGGGAATACTGTGCTGAAAGGGTTGAATAAAAGTATATATACTTAAATGTTGAAATTCCCAGTTCACTTTTCATACTTAACTCTCAGAGCATTGTTAGCTACTCTTATGCTTTTTAGATAAGAGATTGAAACAGTCATCTTTGGGAATCTGTCTAAGAGAAAAAGACCTAAAGAGAGAGAGGATTCTTAACTTCAGAAGAAAATAGAAAGTTGTAAAAGAAAAAGGAAAAATGACCATAATATACTACATCTGTAAAATGAGGATAGGAATAATGTCGACCACCTAGAGTTATTGTGAAGATTAAATGGATAATGTATAAAGAATTAGAAAGTTCTCTAGCACAGCACTTTATAAGCATTACCATTTATTATTTTTATTCAGCCATGAATAGCATTTGTATGGTCATAATTATCTAAATTTTATATATTGATCCAACCAAAATGAGGATATATCTATATTGGGAAGATAGGGGTAGGAAAATAGTGGGCATGTGTACTTAGGGTTAGGGGTCGTTGGAATATGGCACCAAATCCTCATCTTCCCTAATTGAGGGAAATTAGATCTATAAAATAACAAATAATTAAAACTGAAAAATCTAGAATAGCTCTAGAACATTATTAACAAAGATGGAGGAAGGTATCAAAAGAAACAAGCAGAACCTGTTAAGAGGGCTATTTTCATTTTTATAATAAACCTTGTAATAGTGTTTGACTAATTTATATTCATGTATAACATTGATAAAAAAAAAGTAAATTGAGAAATAATTTTTAGTTCAAAGGTCACCTCTTATAAAACCTTTAACTTTTTTATCCAGAATTGTCCACTTTTCTCTTTTTCCTCACAGTACTTATTTCTGTCACAACAATTCTAACACTTTATGGCCCTCACCATATACTCCATACTTTTATATACTCCTACCCCATCCATAGACTATAAGAATTAAGGCAAAACCCTCATTTTCTATTAAGAAAACCCCAAAAAATTTTTTTTCGACCAACTTGAGTACATAAACATTTAGTTTATGTAAATGAAATAGTTATATATCTTATAGCATGTAGTTATTAACTTAATTACTCATATGAAATCATGTTTAAACATGAATTTAGAAATATTTTTTTCTGTTCTTTCATTTTATTAAACATCAGTTTTCTAGAACACAAGAGTACCTTATAATTAGGGAATTGTAGGTGACTTTTTTTCTGGGGAATGACTTTTGAGGAATAAAATCTTGCCTTATATTTGGATACATACAGTATTTCTTTACGTGTCTTTTATATACTCCTACCCCATCCATAGACTATAAGGCATTTAAAGTAAGGACTAGGTCTTATATAAATATAAATACAATCCTCATAAATACATTTACTAATTATTCTTATCAGGGCATTTGCTTAATAGAGTTTATAACTGAATAGTAAAAGATTGCCTTTTGAGTAATTGAGTCTATCCATTTAGTTCACTAATACTTTTATAATTTGTATTAATTTGTTCAAGGTGTCCAGCAGAGTGGAAAAGGATTACAATGATCTTTTTGATGGAGACGATACGAGTAATGCTGGTGATTTTCTAAATGACAATGCAGTCGAAACCCCCTCTTTTTCAAAAGGTATTATACATGATGATGAGGATGATGACATCATGCTGGCTTCAGGTCGTCCTAGACAGCGAAGTCACTTCCTGGAAGATGATGAAAACTCAGTTGGTATGAATTGACTTGTGGATGCTATGATCCATACTGTTGATTACTATTTTCAATTTTTTGTTAAAACTATTATTTAAAGTCATTATTGAATTTGTAGAATGTAGGTAAAGCAGTATATAGAGGAAAATTATAGCATTCGAAAAAGTTTCAAATCAATGAGCTAAGTTTGTGGTTTAGTAAACTAGAAAGAGGAAATAAAACCCCAAGGGAGCAGAAGAAAGGAAATAATAAAGAGCGGATTCAGTGAAAATGACAACAATAAAAGTATTTAAAAAGTCAATGAAACCAAAAGCTATTTCTTTGAAAAGATCAATAAAATTGATAAACCTCTGTCCTAGCTGATTAAGAAGTAAGGACACAAATGACTTAAGTGATGAAAAAGAGGTCATCACCGTAGGTAGATCCTGTAGACACGCACTATACAATATTGTAGCCACTAGCAACCACCGGTGGTTATTGGGCACTTGAAATGTGGCTAGTTCAAATTAAGAAGTGATGTATGTGTAAAATGCAACCAAATTTTGAAGACACTGAAAAAAAAATGTATAATATCTTAGTTGTTTTTTAAATTGAGTACATGCTGAAATTATATATTTTCAGTCCAATATGTTATTAAAATTAATTACCTCTGTTTCTTTTTACATTATAAAATATAGGTACTAGGTAATTTTTATATTATGTAGCTTACATTATACTATCTACTATCATTCTACTATCCTTACATTCTACTATCCTTATAATATTAACAGCAGTATTGTCTTATAGAAACAGGCAATGTTTCTATAAGACAATACTGCTGTTAATATGGCAGGGTAGGCATTAAATATATATTTCCTGAATGGATAGAAACAGACAATGTTTCTATAAGACAATACTGCTGTTAATATTATAAGGATAGTAGAATATTATGAGCAACTTTGTGCCCATAAATTCAGCTACTTAGATGAAGTGGACAAATTCCTTGAAAGATACAAACTACCAAGCTAGCTCAAGAAGATATAGATAACCTGAATAGTACTATATCTGTTAAAGAAATTGAGATTGCAATCAAAAACATTCAAATAAAGTGCCTCTTGAAACAACTTAAATGCTGAAATTACACATTTGAACGTTAAGTAAAATGCCAATGTATAGTGGTAAATTGTGCTGCATTTAAATCATACAGGGTTTATAGAACAGTAGTCCTCAAATATTTTGGTCTCAAAAGCTCTTGATACTCTTAAAAATTTTGAGGACCCCAAAAAGCATTTGTTTATGGAGTTATCACTATTGTTATTTACTGAGAAATTTTAAAAATATTTACTTTAAAATGACATTAGTAAACTCATGTAAGTAAATAATATTTTTTAATGAAAAACAAAATGATGGAAAGTGGCATTTTACCTTTTTTGCAAATCTTTTTAATGTCTGGCATAGATATAGCTAGATGCTCTCATCTGCTTCTGTATTCATTCTGCTGCCATTATTGTTTTTGCTGAAAGTATATGGAGAAAAATCAGCCTCATACAAATATGTAGTTCAAAGAGGAAGAAGTATTTTAATAGCCTATTTAAATAATTGTGTATATTCTTTGATACTGCACCAAAACTCGATAGATGAAAGCTTCTTAAAGATTACTTGCCATGTAGAATCTGAAAACTTTCAATGAAGTTTTCTACTCTATTACATTAAAATTTATTGATCTAACTTGAACTTCGAATGAATCTTTTACTATGTTTGATTTTGTAAGATATGCATTGATAATTTGGAAAATACTGGTTCGTTGAGCTTTGCAGACCTTCCTAATATTGACACATCCAAAATTATATTTGTTCATATCATTACCAATCTCATCGGAAGTTTTTAAGTATTTGGAAGCAATCAAGTTCATGGTGGCAGACACAAGTTTTCCAGTGTTCTGACTTTGCTTGAAAACTCAAATTTTATCATTGGCAGCAAATTCTACCAGTGTTTCATTTTCAAGAAAATGTTTGCCAGATAGCCAAGTCTACATTATCATAGTTTATTTGGCATTCTTTCAAGTAAAAATGGTGTTTCATGAAAAAAATCAATTCAGCTTACAACTCAGTTGCACATGTTTTTTTATTTTTTTGAGACTGCCATCATACTTCTTTATGTATACTTTCCATTTCAACACTGAACATTTTTTTTAGAATGTATGTAAGGATCAAGATTTAATAAAATTAATGTTTTTACTTCAATTGAGCGGTGGTTGACAATGCTTTGAATACTAATACAGATTGGTGTCCCTGCCTTGTTTAATGAATGGTAAGGCACCAGTAGTTTTACCCTCCATTGCTTTTGCACCATCACTGCAAATGTTAACCCAGTGAAAGGGGCAAATAGCACATTATTATTAGGTATGAATGGAAAAGGTTATCAGATTTCCTAATGCTTTTCTTCTTCCAGGTCTTTGGTATTTATGATTCTCTAATTATAATCCTTTGTATTTTAGATCTTACAATGCTAAAAACTGGTTCTAGTCGTCTTAAAGAGGAGGAGGAAGATGATCAGGCAGACAGCATTCACAATCTACCACTTGTAACACCCCAAAGGAAATTTTATGATGGGCCTTTGCCAACTCCCCGGCAAAAGCCTTTTCAGTCAGGTTCTACACCTGTGCATCTCACTCACAGATTCATGGTAAGCCTTGGATTTACACTTAACTTTTAAATAGTTTTGTCTCACTTTTAAGCATTTTATCTCACTATAGTTAATTCGTTTGGTAAAAAATATTTTTTAAAAACCTCTATTAACTGGCATGGAACACTTTGATTGATTTTAATTTTGTGGTTGATTTATTTTGTGGTTAATTCATAGCATTAGTCTTAGTTGAACCTTATTATTGAAAATTGTGTTAAATAAAATTCTGCTTTGCAAAATGATATATAATAAACCTAAGTAAATGTGACTGTATAATTTACAATACCTCGTGGCTATACCTCTAAACCTTATTTCTTATTTTAGTTTTTATGTAGGAGATTATACTGACTCCAAAATACTAGTTAGAAGGTGATTTTTAGAAGGCAGCTCCTATAGTATATCAGGTGATAGAGGCTATGAAAAAAAAAAACAAACTATCTGCTCCTTTTCCCTATCTCATGGAATGTAAGCTCCCCAAAGATGAAGATTTTTCTGTTTTGTTTACTGATAGAACAAGATATGGCAGGGTAGGCATTAAATATATATTTCCTGAATGGATGAATAACTATATTAGCTTTTTGTCTTAAGTTTGAGAGCTAAAAAAATTTAATATTTCTATTTGTTCATTATTTGAGGTTTTTCACTGAGGACTTTGCTTGTTCTCCTTTTTGAAAGGTCTAGGCCTGGCATAAATTTGTGTGTAAATATTAAAGGTGATGTTTTATTTTAATAAAACTTTGTAATTAGTAATTGGTAGTATCAAGTAATAAGTCTTAATTTTTGATTATTGTCACCTATTTTATTTATGTAAAGTTACATTTGTGGTAGAGGAAAGAAAGTGCTAGGGGCTAGTGTGAGCCTATAGTGTACATTAGTGGAAGATAAATTTTCCAAAATGTTATCAATTTATTTTATCTTAAAATGTATATATTTGTTCCTGTAATATAAACCAGTTATTTGGAACAGAAAAATATGCTGTCATTTACATTCATACTTATAAGTAAATAAATTTTTGAAATGTTCCTTTGAGGGATTTAATAGTTTGGTTGTTCAAAGGCCAATTACAAAGTATTTTTTAAATGACAATAATGCAATTCAGAAATATTAAATGTTGTTTACGGCTACCCTGAACGTGTCTGATCCTGTCTGATCTCGGAAGCTAAGCAGGGTCAGGCCTGGTTAGTACTTGGATGGGAGACCACCTAGGACCACCTAGGAAGACCAGGTGCTGTAGGCATAAAAAATAAAAAAATAAAAGGATTGTAAGCTGACAAGGTCCTTGCAATCTGTGAGGTCAACTAAGGATTGCCTCTCCTAAAATATTTTTTAAAAAATTAAAAAAAATGTTAAATGAAATATTTCATTTCCTAATAAATAAGTATATATGTATCTTCTCATAAAGAATAATTAGAGGGTGGAGAGGGGGAGGTAAATGGGGTAAAAGGGGTCAAATATATGGTGACAGAAAGAAATCTAACTACGGGAGGTGAACACAATGTAAATATATATATGCTTTATTGTAAAATGTATAGCTAAAACTTACCAGATTTCGTTAACCAATGCCACCATAAAAATAAATTAATTAATTAAAAAAATAATTAAAGAAAAGAATAATTAGTCATTGTAGCTCTGTTGTTACTACTGTTACTTGAAACTGTTTTGAAGTAGATAAACTGTGGCTGCTGCTATAATTTAAACTAAATACAGACTGAATTATAGTATTTGTTAATTTGTACCATTTAAGCCTGATTCTAGGAGCTTCAGTTTTTCTCAGATTTATATTTAACCTTACATGTTTATAGGTTTGGAACTCTATTGGAATTATTCGCTGCTATAATGATGAACAAGACAATGCCATAGATGTGGAGTTTCATGATACCTCCATACACCATGCAACACATTTATCGAACACTTTGAATTATACAGTAGCAGATCTTTCCCATGAAGCTATTTTGTTGGCATGTGAAAGCACTGATGAACTAGCAAGGTAAATTGGATATTAATAAGAAGAATTTGTTACTACTAAATGTTAGATACAATTGTTGAAATTCAGTACAAAAAGTTAACAAAACAAAATGATACTTTTTGTAGTGTGGAATCTCAGAAAGAAGAGTTCACTGCTCATAATACCTGTGATACCTCAGAACATGTGTTTTTGCCTAACTGTCCCCTTGTTACATCCTCTAACTACTTGTCAAAATGATATGACATGATTTGTAATGCAAAACAAATGGGACTATTTTTTACATTGTATTGCTTTTATTAGTATTATAAGAATAATATATATTAATTTTAAACAAACTTAAGTACAGAAATTTTTAGAAAATGAAAGTTCCCCTCAGAATTCTACTTAGATATAACTACTGATAACAATATGATATGTGTCCTTCCAGATTTCTTTTTGTATAAACCCCCCTTTTTAAATTTACATATTGAGGTATAATTTATATACAATAAAATGCACCCATTTTAGTTTGATAAGTTTGACAAATGTGTATATATTCAGGTAACCATTATAATCAAAATGTTTTTTATCACCCCAAAATGTTCGTTCATATCCCTTTGCAGTTAATCCAGTTAATTACTAATCTGGGTTTTTTGTTTGTTTGTTTGTTTGTTTGTCACTATATATTAGATTTGAAACTTCTCTTTAAAAATAGAAAAAACACACCAAAAAGTGTTATCAGTACTATTCATCTGCTAGATTTTTTTGTTTGTTTTTACTTAATATATTTTGGACTTCTTAGATATTTTGGTTGGTAGCTAGGTAGGTAGGTAGACAAATCAATAGACAAAAAATATGGAAAACCAGTGGATGCAGAGTCCATATTTTTTTTAATGAAGGAAAAATATTTTACTAATATTTAGATATTCCATCCAGATTGCTCTCTCCTGATCTCTTTTCTTCAGCCAATTATAATGTTTATGCACTTAATCATAGATTTTACTAACTCCTAGGTGATTTGAAATTCAAATTCTTCTGATTGGATATATTAGCTCCTTGCTGCTCAAGTGTGGTGCATAAACTGTGAGGTCACCTGGGAGTCTGTTGAAAACAGAATCTCAGAGCCCACCCCAGACCTTTTGAATCAGGTGATTGAGCACATATTAAAGCCTGAGAAAAACTGTATTAGGTCATTTTTTAAAATAATTTTTGCTTTTCAATTACAGTTGACATATAATATATATTAGTTTCATATATTAGGTCATTTTAACATTTTAATTGGTTTCCTAATTTATACATTGTAAAATCAATTCAGTAGTTTATTAAAATAAATCAGTTTATTAAATCAGTTTATTAAAATAAATCACTGTTAACTCTGTCTCAAACTCAGCATATCTTACTTAGAACTTTTCTTCCCATATGCAATTTTGATTTCAGATACTCTTCTCTTTGTTTTCTTAGATATATTATTTGATAGCCATGTACAATATTACCTTTTCATCTTAAAGTTGAATTTTTAAATTATGTTCAGAAAGTCAGTACTGCTTCAGATTACCAGTTCTATGATATCTGCATTTTGAAGCCTAAGTTTAATAATAATTTATATGTATGTGTGTGTCTATATTTGTAAGAAGAATGTAGGCAGAAGTTGATAATCTTGCAGGTGGAATTATATGTGATTTATTTTTTCTTTTCTTGTATTAATTTTTTTATGGCAATGTTGCCTACCAATTTGAAGCTTTCTTCCTTTTAAAATTTGGTTGTGATATTTTGTGCATTTACAACCTAGGTTTCTGCTTTGCAGATTTTAGCCTTTTTTTTCATTTAACAGATTGTGAACATTTTCCTGTATCTCTAAATATTCTTCAATAATATAACTATTAATGATTTTAAAATAGTTTTAAGTATAGTTTTAAGTATATTTCGTAATTCCTTAAAACCATTTCTTGTACTATTTGTATATAACAGAAAAATGAACTATTTGGTTTTCTTACTGGATATCATGATTAATTATATATATGAAATATCAAATATGAAAGTTTGATTGTTTCTATTTTGTTTTAATTTTTAGCAAGCTTCACTGCCTGCACTTTAGTTCTTGGGATTCAAGCAAAGAGTGGATAGTAGACATGCCTCAGAATGAGGATGTTGAAGCCATATGTCTTGGTCAGGGATGGGCTGCTGCTTCCACTAGTGCCTTGCTCCTTCGATTGTTTACTATTGGAGGTGTTCAGAAAGAGGTCTTCAGTCTTCCTGGGCCTGTGGTGTCAATGGCGGGACATGGAGAACAGCTTTTCATTGTTTATCATAGAGGTAGATATTTTTTTCCATTCTTATAATTTTACCATGACCTGAAGTAAATAGAAATTACTTGAGCTTCTTTCTCTCTCTCTCTCTCTACCTATTGTTAACATTTTACCCAATTTGCTTTATAATTGTGCATTCTCTCCTTCCCTCTCTCCTTCCCTCCCTCCCTCTCCCTTTTCCTCTTCTTCCTTCCTTCTTTTTTATTTTGGATTATAATACCTCCTTTTGCATTTATTATAGCATTTGAATCAGTATAATCTTTGAATGTATCAAATTTTGTTGTATTCACTAATAGCAATGAAAATGAAAACATTTTATTTATAAAAGAACTGTATTAGAGAAAGAATTTCAAGATAGAGTTTAGTTAATTACTTCCATGTCTGTATAAGATTTTTCAGAGTTTAAATGCATCAAAAACTAAACTAACTCTACTGTGAAGGGCCAAAACAACTTTGAATCTGACTTTTTAAAAAGTTGTTGCCTTCTTTTCCTCATCTCATATTCTCTCTTTAGATCCCACAATATGCTTAGACTGATTTTATCAAGGTTACTGAAGTTCTCTTTATTCTTTTATTAAAAAATAATTCTACTGGAGATGCTCTTTTCTCTTGGTTTCTGTGATTTTGCTCTTCTGGTTTTTTCTCACTGCTAACTTCTTCAGCTCTTTGCTGGCCCCTCCTCCTGTGCTGACCTCTTAGCTGGAGTGCTCCAGGACTTGGTCATAGCCTCTCTCCTCTAGTACTCTCTCTAGGTCAGGAACTTTCAGTTTTTTGACTGCTTAGCTCTAGTAAGAAATTGTTCTACGTCACTGTTCTGAACATATCTGCAAATGTAACTGAAGTAGAAGTGTCATGGGCAATATTTACTCTTTGATTTCATTTTTCTTTAAATGCTGGTTGCAACTCTAAGTTGATTTCATAGGTCAAGAAATGCAGTTTGAGAAACTATCCTTGGGACTCTCATCATGGCCCACGGCTTTAAATACATTGTGTCTGTGATTTCTAAATTAATACCACCAGCTCTACTCTGTTGTGTCTCCAGACTTGCCCACTTCCTTCTTAAATCTCTATGTAGAGTTTTGATACACATCTCAAACTTAACTTGGTCATAATAAAACTTTTAATATATTTTTCCCCCCAAACTTGCTTCTTACTTAGTTACCCCATCTCAGTAAATGGCGTACTATCAATCCAGCTGCTCCAGCCAGGAATGTAAGAGTTATCCTTGATTCTTCTTTTTCCCTCACCCCCATGAACTCCCATCAGTAAGATCATATCATCATTTCAGTACTTTGGAATAAGACGTTCCAAATCTATCTCTTTATCACCTTCATTAAACCACCCGTCTAACTCAGATGACATCTCTTAGGCTATTATAACAGCCTCCTAACTAGTCTTTTAGCTTCAGTTCTTGCATTCTGTAATCCATTATCCACAGAGCAGTTTGGGTGATCTGATGAAAATATGAACCTCTTCTGCTCAGATTCCTCTGATGAATGTCTGTTGCTTTTAGAATAAAAATTAAACTTCTTATCACAGCTGACAGGGTTCTATGTGATCTTACCTCCGCCTGCCTCTTCAGCCTCATCTCTTGCCATTTTTCTCATTACTCATTTTGGCCATACTGGCTTCTTTGTGTTCTTCAGACTCAAGTTTGCTCTCCATTTAGGGCCTTTTCCTTAGCTGTTTCCTCAGTCTTTTGTAATGCTTCTCTTCCTAACATTTGGATGGCTGGCTCCAACCTGTAGTTGACATCTCAGCTTAAATTTTACTTTCTCAGGCCATCTCTGACTATCCAATCTAAAGTAAACAGTCTGGCTCTCTGTATCACATTATTATTTTAACTCTTTGATAAAACTTAGCAGTTTTTGTTCTTTTTCTTGTTTGTTTGTTTTTAAATTCATTTCTTTGTCCTCTTTTACTTGAATGTGGATTTCATGAGAACAGTGACTTTGTCTTGTTTGCCATTGTAGCCCCAGTGCCTGGTCAAAGTAAACTCTCTGTAAATATTTCTTGAGTGAAGAGTTACCACTTACGACCACTTTATATACATAGTCCATGTCACATAGTATTCTGGTTCTGATACGTGAATGGTGCCTCAGTTAGGCTATCAATAAAAAATAGTGCTGGTTTATCTAAAAAACAAAATCAGTTCAATTCACAGAAAATAATTTAGACTGCATTATAGCTAAATAACCTTTGATACCTGATTTATATTTACATTTTTTCACTAGGAATAGGATTTGATGGGGATCAATGCCTTGGCGTTCAACTGCTAGAGCTGGGGAAAAAGAAAAAACAAATTTTGCATGGTGATCCTCTTCCTCTTACAAGGAAATCCTACCTTGTATGGGTTGGATTTTCAGCTGAAGGCAAGACAAATTCATTTATTTATATTAAAGACATTTTTTAAGAAGAAAATTGTTTCATTGTTTTTCCTAATTAATTTCTTTGTAGATAAATTATCTATATTTTATGTTTAAATTTCTTTATTTTAATATGTTGGCAAAACTGGAAATGAATTATTAGGCAAGGTGGCTATTGTTTTATGTACAAGGTCTCTTCATGAGAATTTTGACTAGAAAACTTACAATGTGGAAATATAGTTTTCTGAAAGTTTAAGTTAGCAAGGAGATACAAATCAATGGTAAAGTTGTGGCTATTCCAGCAGACTCTACACAAAAATCAAGAATTTTCTATTCCTACACTGTCTGCTTCAGTAACCTCTGGCCATGTGTGGTTTCTGAGCACTTGAAATGTGGCTAATCTGAATTGAGATGTGCTGTGTGAAATACTCTTCGAATTTTGAAGATTTAGTATGAAAAAGAGAACGTAAAATAATCTCAATTCTTTTACATTGATTACATGTTAAAATTATATCTTGGATATATCGGATTTAATAAAATATATTATTAGAATTAACTTTACTTTTTTTCCCCTTTTCTCATGTGGCACTAGGAAATTAAAAATTACATTTGTAGCTCACATATTTCTGTTAGACAGTGCTGTTGTAAACTCATTTAATAGTGGCTTATGACAGATGATTTGAAGGACACTGAAGAGTACCTCATTTTAAGAAGCCTGTTAACCCTGTGTCCTGGCTTAAATATTTCTATTGGAGATTCGTGACCTTCAATTACATCATTAGAAACTCCAATTGTATCTTTAAAATATCAACCATTTCTGGATGTATGTTCTGTTGGTAGATCATTAGTCATTTATGCTTTAATAATGTGACCACCAATGACTTCCATCATATAGTTTTTTTTTTTAATTACCAATTAGATCTAGACTCTGAGAAAACTGTTATTTGCAGAGTGAGAGGGCTGTAAAGTCAAAGATAAGAAAAGGAGTAATTAGGGAATTTGCTGTGCACTTCCTGAGATAGGAGCAGAGTAGGTGGGAAACAGGGATGCCTGCTTGTTTCCTAGGTAAGAATTGCTTACCTAGGAGTTGGGGAACATAACAGTGATGAGGCCAAGAAAGAGAGGAAGGAAGAAGAGTACAAAAGAGAGATGTTCTACATCCTCACCTCGTATCAGGGTCTTGTATTTTTCCAAGACTCTCTTAACCTGGGAGACTTCAGAGTCAAGTTTAATTTTTTTGCTGACAATGGCTTTTTAAAATATTGCTTTATTCCAGCAGGTGGCATAGTTTTCACTGAAACTATTAGTTTTTTCTCTCTATTTGGATAAATTTCAGTCATAGCAGGCATTTTTTTGTTGTTGTTGCTTTCTTTACTTGGATCTTACTCTATGTGGTTTATGAAGTTTTGTGAGAAATTAACTTAGAATTTTTGCTTTCTTGTTTTGTTTTTACTTTTGAATTAAACGTTAAATGATGGGTATGTATTTTTAAAATAGTATTTAACAAGTATGTAGCTATGTCTCCAAGTGGTTTCTAACTTTGTTGGTGTATAGGTACCCCATGTTTTGTGGATTCAGAAGGCATTGTTCGAATGCTTAACAGAGGGCTTGGCAATTTGTGGACTCCTGTATGTAACACAAGAGAACACTGCAAAGGAAAATCTGATCACTACTGGGTGGTTGGTATCCATGAAAATCCCCAACAACTGAGGTAGGCTATTAGAAAATGCTTACAGTTAAAGTTGACATTAAATATTATTTTATATTAGTTTCGAGTGTGTACAGCATAGTGGTTAGACATTTATATAATTTATGAAGTGATCCCCCCAATTAGTCTAGTGCCCACCTGGCACTATACATAGCTGTTATCATATTATTGACTATATTCCCTATGCTGTACTTTATATTCCTGTGACATTTTGTAACTACCAATTTGTACTTCTTAATCCCTTCACCTTTTACACCCAGCCTCCCAACCCCCCCTTCCCATCTAGCAATCACCAGTTTGTTCCCTTTATCTATGATTCTGTTTTCATTTTCTTTGTTCATTTATTTTGTTCCTTAGATTCCACATAAGAGTGAAATCATATGGCATTTGTCTTTCTCTGTCTGATGTATTTCACTTAGCATAATTCTCTCTAGGTTCATCCATTGTTGCAAATGGTAAGATTTTTTTATGGCTGAGTAGAGAGAATTCTTTTTAAAGTGTATTTTTTATTCGTTTTCACCGTAGTTCATTTACTTGCTTTTTCCACATTCGGTAAATCAGGAATTTGTTTTATATTCACTTTGAAGTTTTCAACCAATTGCTTGACTTTGAACTTATTGAACAAAATAGAAATTAAGTTTATTAGTGTGACTATAGCATCATTTCATCCTGACAGGGAGGGGAGTTAAACATGGCATTTTATCTTCTATTACAGCCTTTTATGTTTTATGTTTCATTATGATTTAGAGTTGAATGTACATAATTTAGCTGCTCTTTGAGATTTTTAGCTCAATCATTATAATAGGAGAGAGGACTAGTAGAAATTTAGTATTTTACTGCAAGCGCAGAATTCTCAGTCCAGCCTCTATTCAGTTTTGTGTTCATGGTCTAAAAGATTGTCAATGACATTGTGTAGGTACTTAGTGACTAAAGAGGTCTCTCCTTTCATGGAGCTTATAGCCTGGGAAGACAGATAACAGAAACAAGTAAATATTAATTACTACTTGAGATAAATGCCATTAATTAATCTGAGCCAGACCCATGATGGAGAATAACAGGGCATGTTCTAAGTGGAGTGATCACAAAAGACTCCCAACTGAGGTGGTATTTAAAATGAGACCTGGAGGCCAAGGAATCTGTTATGGAAGAATGGAGTGAAAAGCAATCCATGTAGTGTAAACAGCATGTACAAAGGCCGTAGAGTCTGAAAGAACTCAATGCATTTGAGGAATTGAAAGAATCTAAATGTGTCTAGAGTATAAGAATCAAGGGATGGTGGCAGGCGTAAGTTCAAGATGATACAAAAAAGTTAGATATAGGTTGCATTATAGTCCATGATGGAGAAGTTTGGATTTTATTTGAAAGGATATCAGGAAGCCATTCAAGGATTTTATTCAGAGGAATGGTATAATCTGATTTATGCTATAAAAAGGCAATTATTTATGGTAAGTGGATTGGCAGGGGTAAGACTGGAAGTAGGGAGACCAGTTTTTAGCAGGCAGATTTATCCCCTCATCTGAGGATGTTTGGAAATGTGGGGTGTTGTTTTTAGTTGTCACAATGATAGAGGTTACTCTGGCATTTAGAGTGCTGGAGCTGGGGGTTGTTAAACATCTCATAATGTGGGATGGTCTTGCTCAACTGCAGATTATTCTTTCCTGAATGCTTTTAGTGCCCTCATTGAGGAACGCTGGGGAAGATTTTACAGTCATCTAGCTGAGCTAGAACAATGGCTGGAACTAATGTGGGGCAGTGGAAATGAAGAGAAACAGATTCAAGATAGAAACAGTAGGATTTGCTATTAGATTGGGGATTGGGAATGAGAGGGCAGAATCAATAGTGGCACCCATGTTTCTGGTTAAAGCAACTAGATGATAGTCACGTCGTTTATAGAAATAAGGGAGATGAAACTGAATTCTCTCTTGGTTGTGTTAAGTTTGAAATGCCTGTGAAATATCCAAATGGAGCTATCAAGAAGATATTGGATATATAATTTGAATTCAGAGAAGAAATTTTGGCTACAGATACAAATTTGGAAGTCACCAGAATATAGAAGATATTTAGAGTCATAGTAATAAATAAGACGACTTAGCAGGAAGAGAGGAAAAAAGGTCTCAGAATCCAGCTGTAAGAAATTCCAACATTTAGAGGCCAGGTATTGGAGTAGGAGCTTTTAAATGAGAAAAAAAGAGGATTAGCTATGTCAGAAAAACATCACCTGAATAGGGTCATATAACAGAAACTATAAATGGAGACTATTTCAAGAAAGAGGCAATAGTGAGAAGGGAAATAAAAATGGCTCTTCAATATATGAAAAGATAATTAGTTTCACTTAAGATAAATACAAATCAAAACTATAAAGAGAACTCTTTTTATCTATCAAATTGGAAAAATATTTAAATTTGTTAACACTCTTAGAGTTGGTGAGGCCGTGGGGAAATAATCACGTTTGCATATTGCTGATGGGAGTACAAATTGGTTAAAATCCTTGTGGAAGATAATTTGTTAAGAACAACCAGAATTAGAAATGTATATGCCCTTTGACCTAATAATACTGCTTTTAAGATTAGTCCTACAGATATACTAGTACTTGATATTTAAAGCATGATCCATGGAAACCACCATAACCAGGCAGCTTATTGGAAATGCTGAATCTCCAGTATCACATCAGACTTACTGAATCAGAATCTGCATTTTAACAAGATATTTGGTGATTTGTGTGCACATTAAAGTTTAGGAAATAGTGCTGCTAGCAAATGTGGGAAATGATATATGTAAAAGATATCCTACATTGTATGATTGTTAATACAGTAAAAGATTGGAAACCTAAATTTCCATTAGAAGAATAGAGAAATGTATTGTGTACACCTATACACTAGAATACTATGTAATTTGTTTTAAAGGGTGAAGCATATCATGTATGTGATAAGTGATGTGTATCCAGAATATATAAAGAACTCTTACAGTTCAACAGAAGACAACTCAATTAAAAATAGGCAAAGGATTTTGAATAGACATTTCTCCAGACAAGATATACATATGGCCAATAAGCATATGAAAAGATATTCAGCATTATTAGTCATTAGGGAAATGCAAATCAAAACCAAAGAGATACCTTTTTACACATACTGCGATAGCTATAATCCAAAAAATGGAGAAAAACAAGTATTGGTGAGGATGCAGAGAAATTGGAACCCTCAGACATTGCCGGGTGGGGCTGTAAAATGGTACAGTTTGGCAGTTCCTCAAAAGGTTAAACACTGAGTTACCATATGACCCAGTGGTCTTCTTCTAGGTTTCTAACCAAGAGAATTGAAAACATATCCGTACAAAAACTTGTACTTGAATGTTCATCGTAGATTTTTTCGTAACAGGTAAAAAGTGGAAACAATGCAAATGTCCATCAAGTGAGAAATGAATAAGTAAAATGTAGTATATCCATCAATGGGATATTATTGGACTGTAAAAAAGGATGAAATACCGATTCATGTTACAACATGGCTGAACCTCGAAAATGTTATGCTAAGTGAAAGAAGCCAGACACAAAAAGCCACATATTATGATTCCATTTATATGAAATGTTCAGAGTTGGCAAATCTGTAGAGACAGAAAGTAGATTAGGGATTGCCAGGGGCTTGCAGAGAAGTGGACAGTGGAGAATAGGGATTAACTGCCAGTGGGCGTGAGGTTTCTCTTTGGGGTGATAAAATGTTTTGGAATTAGTGGTGATAGATGCACAACTCTTTGAGTATAGTAAAAACTGAATTATACACTCAAATATGATGTGGCTGTGGTACATCTATGTGAACTCTGGTATATGAATTATATCTTAATAAAGCTGTTATTTAAAAAGAGTAAGGATGTGCTGTGTAACTAGGTGGAAAGATCTGCAAGATGTGTTAAGTGAAATGAATACCACTTGTGTAAAAGGGGAGAGAGAACGCATAATTGTATTTGGTTATATATGCCAAAGAATTTTTGGAAGAATAAAAGGAAACTAATGATAGTTGCTTGGTAGAAAAACACTCAGTGGATAGTATAGGAGACTTCTCTGTATTCTTTTTTATAGTTTATGCATATAAATGCTCAAAAATTAAGTAAGTTGAATTTTTTTTTTTTTTTAAATGAAAGAGGCAATTCAATAACCCGAATCAGAGAAGGCTAGAAGTGAAGTTCAAGAAGACTTCTTAATTTGGATAAGTGGAAGTTATTGGTAACCCTTATAAAAATGGTTTTAGTCACACGACAAAATGTTAAATTCCTGATTGGGGTGTGCCGAGAGCATGGGAAATGAAGAAATGAAAGCATGATATGTAGACAACTCTTCAAGAAGTTTGGCTGTGCAGTGGAGCAGAGATGGGGTGGAATCTAAAGCAGGATGAATTATTTAGTTTGGGCGATTCTAGAGCATTTTTGTAATCTTTTGACAGTAAATTCAGTAAAGAGGTTGAGATTGACAGTAAGAAAAAGAGACAACCAAAGGAATGATATCCTCAAAAAAAGTGATAGATTTTTTTAGACCACCTGTCTAAAATAGGAAGATAAGACATTACATCAGTTGTTGTGAGAAGGAAGAGGATAGGCAAATGCAGATGGATTTGGTATTTCAAAGGTAACAGAAATTCTTGTCTGATGGCTTCTGTTGGGTTGGCAGAATATGAAACAATGTTGAGAGTATTTTTGAAGATAGTGGTTGGCAATGTGAGATTTTTAGAAGATATGGTCTTAGAGAATATAAAATCGAACTCAATAGAGAACAGTAGAGATCGCTGGTTATTATTTGTCTTGTCTTTTTAGAATCTCCAAATATTCCATTATGGACAGATTTAATATCAAATGGAACATATTAGTTAACAGTTTTTAACTTCCTTAGGATATAGGTTGTTCTCAGGAATTTCTTGCATGTCTGTTCCCAGGAATCAAGTTATTTAGTAATTTGAATCAAAGAATTCACATTTTATGTTAAGAGGTTAAGTTTTGAACCTATAAGGATTTTTACTATTCCATCTAATGTTTATTTGAGTAAGATGATTTATTTCATTTAGATGAATGTCATTATTTTAAAGAGATATGTGAAATCATTCATTTGCAGTGAATAATTTCATATTTTAAATTTAATTTAATATTATAAATGTAAGTTTTTATAGTGAGACTTTTTCTCTACTGACAGGTGCATTCCTTGTAAAGGTTCTCGGTTTCCTCCCACCCTTCCACGCCCTGCTGTAGCTATATTATCCTTTAAGCTTCCTTACTGTCAGATTGGAACAGAAAAAGGACAAATGGAGGTATGTGGAGATCTTACCTTGACACTCTAAATTTGATAATGCGATCGCTACCTGTGACATAGGCATTTAAAAATTATCCCGGTGGCCAATGTTGTGTGTTTATTACTTTATAATGAAATAGACAGAGGTAGCAGAGAAGAAAGAGGACTGATTGATCATCAGGGCACCTGATTGCCATCACTGCTTCCAGGGACCTTGTCTATGAAGTATATGGGTGTTACTGTCAGCGCCTCACTAGGGCAAGGCGTTCATTCGCAGGGCCCCACAAGTCCTGAGAGGGCGTGCTTCCAGAAATTTTGTACTGTAGACGCTTGGATTGCTTCACCCTAGTCCTAGCCCTGCGTCATCGAAAGTCATTTGAAATCTTGCAATTAGTTATTCTAAAAAAGAAGCAAATTGGCTTCTAAAAAAGTAGCTTCCCAAATTCTCTGAGCATTAATTATAATAGCTAAGAAACTGTTTAAAACCCTTTATTTCTCCCCTTTTTTTAAGGGTAGAAGGCAAAGTCAAGGCGTAGTATCACATTAGAATTTGAATTGTAAAATAATAGGAAGGAGTGTTTCAGAAAATATTTTATTCAGAAACTGGTATCTTAAGATAAATATTTAACATTTGCCTGGTCTTAAGCTGATAGTTGACTCTAAACAGTTTTTTCCTTACTTTTGTAGGAACAGTATTGGCGTTCAGTTCTGTTTCACAACCACCTTGATTATTTAGCTAAAAATAATTATGAATATGAAGAGAGCACTAAAAATCAAGCAATAAAACAGCAACAGGAACTTTTAATGAAAATGCTTGCAGTAAGTAAAATAAATACACAAAAAAATTAAAATTAAATGCTTTTCTAAGGTTGAATCTCTTAAAGGTATGTGAATTAGCACTGAGTTCCACAACCTACAATTCTTAAGTTGTATCTGGTGGTATTTTTCTTCCTTAAACATTCTTTTTCCAGTTAATGTCGCATTTAAAATATTTTAAAAATTACCTTGTATCTAAGATTGTAGGTGGTCATAAACTGTCCCAGTGCAACCTCCCTTTTTGCTTTTGCCCACTGCACTGTTTGAACAGGACCGCCAAGCGATTTTGATGCTTAAAAATGTTTGAGAACCAGGAGCTGTAGCTCCTGCTCTTATGTGCAACAAATAGAGTTTCTGGACTTTTAAACCTCTAAGGGTGGGCAGCCTTAAGAACTTTAATAAGGCTTTTTAGATACGCTTGCCTTTTGTCATCCTCTTAGGCAACAGTGTATGATAAAAATTTGTCTCTAGCCAGTGACCAGGTTTGTTGCCTTGAATATATAAGTACTTTTATCTTTGGAGGTAAATGAACTTTTTGAAACATAAGGTTCATTCTTGCATCTTCATTCCAGGTTGGTTTATGAAGAGGAGTGTATTGTAATTTTTTATCTGCTTATCCTGCACTAGACTGTAAGCCCCTTGAAGGCAGTGGCCATGCCAGGCACTGACATGATATCTGATATATAGTGGGCCCCACTATTTACGGAGAGAGTAAATGGTCCAGACTTTTCATTTAAAAGTTGAGGGTTCTGAAGGAAAAAGTGATATCGAAGACCGCAAAGCTAATTGTAATTAGTCTCCAAAAGGCGTGTTCACTATTGTCACCTCTATGCAACACTGCCTTGAGTTTAGTATTAAAGCAATTTAATTAGTTTATTGTAGAGTAAGTTTTGTTCCTTTTATGTGGTGTCATTTGTGGTCTGGGAACTAGACTTTTTTACTTCCTACAGTACATTTAAGGAAACATATTTGATTTATTTACCATTTAGCCATAGAGGAGCTTTTCCTCTGGAGCAGGGTGCTGGTGGCTTTGGGGACTGGTCCTCTTCAGCATTCTTGGCCCCCTGCAAATGCCTGTAGTTCAGCTTAGTCTCTGAGACCCACACTACAGCAGATCCTCGACTACTGTTTCATTCAGTGCCAATATGTTATAACTGATAAGGAAAAAAATCAGTGTCTGGCTGAGGCCACTGCCCATGTGGAGTTTGCATGTTTTCCCTATGTCTGTGGGTTTTCTCTAAGGACTCCGGTTTTCTCCCACATCCCAAAGATGTGCACATGAGATGAATTGGGTGTCTAAATCATCCCACTCTGCGCAAATGTGGGGGTGTGTGTGTAAGTACAGCCTATGATGTAAGGGTGTCCTGTCCAGGATAAGGTCCCTCCTTGCACCCTGAGTTGCTAGGATAGGCTGGCCACCCTTGACCCTGAACTGGAATAAACAGGTTGGAAAACAATTACCTTGTTTTTATTAATCTTCCTTAAATATGTGTATAGCATGCACTTATTTCAGTGTTTAATATTAGAAGTGTTTTGGGTTTTTAGTTAGAAGTCTAGTGATGTTTTCTGTGACTAGAAATATGCAGTAGGAACTTAATTCGTTTACATCAGCCTGTGGTAAAATTGGTTTGTGATACGTTTTTTAGCTTTAAGTCGCAGTTTCCTAGAATCTTTCAACCACGTTAAGTGAGGACTTAACTGTATTCCTTTTTATTTCTAAGTGTCCCCTGAGTCAGAGTACCACCTTGATTGAGAAGTATTGCTTATAGATAAGTGATACTAGAAAATTTGAGGAATACATACAGATGAATATCTAAAGCTTCCGTGCTGATGGATCAGACATGGGATGTATAAGAAACAAAATCATCCTTCTACCCTATGAATTATGAGGCCCTTAATAGTTTTCGAAGTATTAATTTTCCTCACATTGTACTTGAATTGCCTTACTTTGAGTTGTCACAGTTCATACCAAAAGAAAACTAGCCAGTGTTTTCTAAGAGATAATAAATGAATGCCTTTTTTAAATGTTAAGTATGAAAAATAAAGCAAGAAAAAGAATGTTGTTTGTTAATTTAGAAGTTTATAACTGTTTCTGGTAGTTGGAGATCATAGGCAATCACACTTAAAAACTATTGGATAAATCTACTTACCCCATCCAGATTCACTTAGTAGCATTTGCATGCCAAGTCTGGGCAAGGTAATAAATAAATCATTTATAATTCATTTCTTCTTTGCATTTGCAGCTCTGTTTGGCTAGGGTAGGAAAACAAAGTTAGGAGAACTGCATCTGGATTTTAAATGAATCTCTTACTTTCCTTGCAACTAATAGCTTGAAGTGATATACCATATCTCATTGAATCTAAACTACTATTAATTGTAAAATGCACCATTAGTTTCTTCATATAAGCCACTGAGACAAAAAAAAAAAAAATGCTGCCAATTAAACTGACCCACCATCATTTATAAGATGCTTTCTAATTTCAGAGATGTTAAAATATGTAATCTTAGAATCAGTGAAATATGGTATCTAGAATACTGTTTTCTCAGTTTTACTAGTAGTTTCATTCCTTTATTTTAAAAAAGTTTTACTTAACATGATTTGATTGTTGTTTTTTTTTTCCTTTTTGGGTTAGCTTTCCTGTAAATTGGAACGGGAATTTCGTTGTGTGGAACTTGCTGATCTAATGACTCAAAATGCTGTGAATTTAGCCATTAAATATGCTTCTCGTTCTCGGAGATTAATATTGGCCCAAAGACTTAGTGAACTGGCTGTAGAGAAGGCCGCAGAATTGGCAGCAACCCAGGTGGAAGAGGAAGAAGAAGAAGAAGATTTCAGAAAAAAGCTGAATGCTGGGTACAAAATATTCAGTTGTTTGAATTTTTCTTTACTATTCTGAGTATTAAGCTGGTCTTTGCATAGAGTTCTTTATTGAATAGTATTTTCATCTTTTAGTTACAGTAATATTGCTACAGAATGGAGTCAGCCAAGGATCAGAAATCAAGTTGAAGAAGAAGCAGAGGACACTGGAGAAGTTGATGATATAGAAGAAAAATCAGAAATACATAAGCAGGGTAAGATACATTTTTAAGACAATTTAAAGGTGAGAAATGTGATGTGTGGGGCTTTTCCCAATTTACTTGGCTGGGAAATTTGAATACATAAGTCTTCCCTTATCCATGGTTTTGCTTTCCATGGTTTCAGTTACCTATGATCAACTGCGGTCCAAAATATTAAATGGAGAATTCTAGAAGAAAACAATTCATCAGTTTTAAATGGTCTAGTTCTGAGTAGCAGTAGCAGTCTCGTGCTGTCCTGATCCATCTCACCGTGGATGTAAATCATCCCTTTGTCCAGTGTATTAGTCACTTAGTCACTCAGGTATCAGGTCAGCTGTGGTGTTAGAGTGCTTGAGTTCAAGTGACCCTTATTTTATTTAAAAATGCAAGAGCAGTGATGCTGACAAATTGGATATCACAAAGAGAAGCCATAAAGTGCTTTAAGTGAAAAGGTAAAAGTTCTTGACTTAATAAGAAAGAAAAAATTCATATGTTGACGTTGCTAAAATCTGTGGTAAAGGAAGAATTTTCTATCTGAAATTGTGACGAAGAAATTTATGCTAGTGTTGCTGTTGCACCTCAGATTGCAAAAATTACAGCTGCAGTGCATAATATGTTTTTACTTAAGGTGGAAAAGGCATTAAGTTTGTGAGTGGAAGCCGTGAACAGAAATCATGTTTTGATTGATGGAAGCATGTTGCCCCAGAAAGCATTGAGCCTATATGAAGGCTTCAGCAAGGGTCTCCTGAAATGAGTGATCACGTTCATAACTTTTATTATAGTATATTGTTATAATTGTTCTGTTATTAGTTACGTTGCTAATCTCTTACTGTGTCTAATTTATTAATTAAATTTCATCATAGGTATGTATGTACAGGAGAAAACGCAGTGTAAATAGGGTTCAGTACTATTCTCAGTTTCAGGCATCCATGAGGGGGCTTGGAACTATCCCTGGTGGATAGAGGGGGACTGCTGTACCCATACTTTTTCAAGACATCTTTGCCTTCTCATTGTTGATTATAGAGGATATGTTTATCTTCCTGTTTACATTATGTTATCATAATTATTCTATAGGACAGAACCCATTTTCAAAAAGTGCAAATTCCTGTGATGTGCCAGCTATTAACTCGGGTAAGAAAAATTTATGATTTTGTAATGTCAAGTAAATTTTACAAGTAGTCTTTAAAGTGACACACCTTACTCTTTAGGGCCTATTTCTTTTTTTTTTTTTCTTTTGTTGTTGTTTTATTTTTTTATCAGAAACGTTCTTTGTGAAACTATGGTCATTTAACAAGTATTTATTAAATGCTTGAATGTCAGGTATTTGACTAAATGGTGATACAGAAGTCAAGCAGATATGCACAGTTGATCCTTGTATAAAAATTATGGTACCAATTGATTTTTCAGACTATACATAGAGTACTTTGATTAAAAAATTATCTTTAAAAACATGTACAGAGTATTAAAAGAGCAGATAACCGATGGCTATAATTTAACTCAGTGATGGGCGATGGGTTGGGGCTCCAAGGAAGGCCTTACGGAGTCTTTAAAGCAGAGACCTGAACGATGAATGAGTGGGCTAGGCAGAGGTGGGTGGGAGCAGAAGCAGAGGAAAAGCATGTGGTCTTAAGCAACAGTGTGTGTGAAGACTAACAGTGGTATGAAGAGCACAGAGAGCAAAGAAGAAGTGCTGAGGTTTATAGCAATGGACAGGAGCCAAATCGTGCACATCCATATAGGCAGTAGTAAGGATTTTGATCTTTGTTCTAGGGTTGCTGGGAGGCTGTAGGTTCTAAGTGGGGCACAGCCTTTTCTGGCACACTTCAGAAAAGGAATGCACATAGAGACCACTCAGGCAGTCCAAGTGGGATTGAATAGTGGCTCGGACTGGGGTGGTGGTAATGGTAGAAAGAATAGGAAGAATTGAAGAGGTATTTCTGATGATGATGTAGAGAGTGTGGAAGTTCAGGTGTGAAGAATGACTCAGTTTCTGGCTTGAGTACTTGAGTTAATCATGGTGCCATTTATTGAGTCAGGAAAACTAGGGAGACACAGGTTTAGATAGCAGGAGGATGAATTACTATTGGATATTTGGGTCAGGAGCTTGGGGAATTAGTATCTCTGGGATGGAAATATAAAGTGAAAATCACTGGCGTAAGTATAGCAATTTAAACCACGGGCATGGGTGAAGGAGCGTTGGGGGAAGATGTAAAGTGAAAAGAAAAATGAGCTTATGCCTAGGGAATCCCCAGCATTTAAACATCGGGTAGTAGAGGGAGGGGGAAGGGGAACCATCGAAAGAGTATGAGACCAGAGAGGAAGGAGATAAGCCAGGGCGATGTAGTAACTCAGAAGTCAAGGACGAAGACAGTACCAAGAAGAAAGGGATCTGCTATGTGGAATGCTGTTGAGAGATCAAAAGTATCCACCAGATTTGGCCAGATAGAGTTTTACCAGGTTCTTAGCAGGAGCAGATTTTGTAGGTTAGTAGGGCTGGAGTCCATATTATATTGGAGCTGGAACATAAGAGCAGTGAGGAAATGGGAATAGCCATGTAGACAGCACTAGAGAAATTTGGCTTTATAGGAGAGGTGATAGAAATGGTGGCTGCTGGTATAGCCACTATGGAAAACAGTCTGGAGGTTCCTCAAAAAATTGAAAATGAATCTACCTTTTGACCCAGCAATTGCACTTCTGGGTATTTATCCAAAGAAAACCAAAACACTAATTCGTAAAGATTTATGCACCCCTGTGTTCATGGTAGTGCTATTCACAATAGTTGAGATATGGAAGCAACCTAAATGCCCAACAACAGACAGACAATTGGATAAAGAAGTTATGGTCCATATATTCAATAGACTTTTACTCAGCCATAAGAAAAAATGAAATCCTACCATTTGCAATGACATAGATGGACCTAGAAGTTATTATGCTGAGCAAAATAAGTCAGACAGAGAAAGATAAATACCATATGATTTCACTTATATGTGGAATCTAAGGAACAAAAAGAACAAACTAATCGAAAACAGACTCACAGATATAGAAGACAGTCTGGTGACTGCCAGAGGGGAGAGGTATTGGGAGGGTGGGAGAAAGCAGTGAAGGGTTAAAGAAGTACAAATTAGTAGTTGATAGATGGTCATGGGGATGGGGAGCACAGCATTGGGAATGCAATCAGCAGAAATGGCTAGGTGGAGAACCAGAGGGAAGATAAAAGTAATCAGTGGGATTGTTTCATAAACTATATAAATATCTAACCAATGTATTATGTACTTGAAACTGATAATAAAAAAATAAAATGCTTTGAAAAAAATAAAATGGTAGCTGAGGGGTTGTGGGGTAGAGAGGATTTGTTTTTTTTGTTTGTTTAAGTTGGAAACTTGAGCAGTCAGTAAAAGGGTAAAGTCAAAGATATTGTAGCCATTGATAGCACATTTCTTGACAAAGCCAGAAGGGTAGGATTGAGAGCACAGGAGAGGAATTAGTTACTAGCCTTAGCTAAAATAAGGCACCATTTTTCTATGGTAACAGGAGAAAAAGTTAGATCTTCATATAGTATGTATATTTTATAGTGGCAAGTTGGGGTAGTTCCCATCTAAAAGCTTTTATTTTGTCTTAGAAATGGAAGGAGGTGATATGTAGTTAATAGTTGTAAAGTAACAAAGCACATTCATTTTCATACAATATAGATTAAAATATTTCATCTATTATTGTAGAAGAAGTCAGAAGTCTTCTGTGTTTTACCACTGTTAAGTGAGGGTTTCTTTCTTATGAAAGGTGCAGTTACCTCTAGCAACCAAGGACGAGTAAACCCCTTTAAGGTAAACTCTTTCCAATGATATTTTCTATTATTTAAATACATTTTCATATAGAATAATATTTTCAAAACACCCAATGACCCTCCCCAGACTTGGAGGCATTAAAGACTGAAGCAGATCTTTGTGAAAACAAAGACAAAAGCAGCACTGCTTCACACCTAGGCTAAGAGTTATATTTTCTCCTTGTCTTTTAAGTGCTTATAGTTTTTAAAGATACTCCCTGCTTTTCTTGGGGATGTGGTATTTGAGAATATGTGCATCAAAAGTCTTAATTTGGATTGTGCTAAATGTATGCATTTCTAGAACTGAGAGTACAATACAGATATAACAGAAATTTAAAGGAAAAATGAAATCTCTTAGGATTTTTTTTCTTTCAATATAAAATGCTAACACGAGTTTGCTCTTTAGGTATCAGCCAGTTCCAAAGAGCCAGCCATCTCAGTGAATTCAGCACGCTCTACTAATATTTTAGATAATATGAACAAATCATACAAGAAATCTACTGCACTCAATCGAGCTACAAATAACGAAAAGTCTCCAGTTATAAAGCCTCTAGTTCCAAAGCCAAAGTCTAAGCAGGTACTGTTTCAACTACTCACATCTGCAATAAGCAGCACGAGATCTATTTGTCTAACTGTAGTTTGTTCACTGTTTCATGTATGAGACAGGAGGCTCTAGTTGTATGTAACTAATTGTCCAGTGAGGGCAATGGTTCTCTATTCTGGTTTTGCTTCAGAATCATTTTTTAAAAATATGTATACCCAGGCCCTAGGGACTCAGCCATTTATCTGTATTTTGAAAAAAATTTCCCAGATGTTTCTGTTACATATCCCTATGTAATGATGACACTGAGAGAGTACCTGGCTCTTATCTTTCCTTGTTCTGTATTTTGATTTTGTCTCCCAGATTTTATCTCAGATTTGGTATTTCATCCCAAAGTTGTCATCAGTAAAATATATTTATCATTTATTTTTTCCATTTCATATAATTTTATTCATTTAGAAAACATGGAATTTGAAATATAGTTTTTTTGCAGTTTATGTGTATCTACATGTTTTTTTTCAGTCGAGAACCTCAGGACTTCACATGTTGGTATAAGATTCTAAATAATATTTTCCCACATTTTTTAAAACTTGCTTTTAACATGTAAAATCATACTATATTTTCTTGCAGCTTCATGATATTTGTTTTTACAGGCATCTGCAGCATCCTATTTTCAGAAAAAAACTTCTGAAACTGATAAGACTGAGGAAATAAAAGAAGAAAATCCTAAAAATTCATCATCTGAAACCTCAGCTGTGTGTGCTCAAGACACTGAAAATCAAAGGTTAGTACATAGAGAAATTTAGTATTCTCAAGATTCAGTATCCCAATAAAAGGCATACTGAAGGAGCAATACAAAATTATTCAGCTTTGTTATTCATTATTATAAATAATACATTGGCATTGGTAGTGGTCATCCTGAACACTTGAAGGAAGATGCAAATATTGATTAATGTCTATTTACATTATTAATTAAAGTGTATTTTGGCAAATTATATGTGTGTTTTAAATTTAAATACTATATTTTATAATTAATCCATTTTTTAAATAGCTAATGTAGTTACATGGGAGAAATATAGTCAAAAGATACAAAAAGATGTGTGATGAAGAATAAATATCTTTCCTATCTACCCAGTACCCCGCTCCACAGTCACAGCAACAAGTCTCTTATAGAGCCTTTCAGTATTAATCTATGCACATACACACACTTATATTTATCTGGGTTTTTTTTTTTTTTTAGTTTTACAGGAATGGTAGCCTATACATTGTTTTATCTCTTGCTTTTTTTCCACTTAATAGCTTTTGCACGTCATTTCGTTACTACACAGAGTTTCTGTAATCTTTTTATATTTATTGAATGGATATATCATAATTACTTAGGTCTCCACTAGTGGAAAAAGATCTTTTACTAATACAAATAGTATTGCAACGAATAACTTTATACAAGTTATTTCTCATATATACTTATAGCTATGGATTCTCATAGAGACAAAGTTAATGTGCACTTATAATTCCAGTAGATACTGCCAGACTGTTTAGCATTGATGTCATATCATTTTATATACCTTAGCCATATGAGAATTCCTGTTCATCCAGATCCTATTTGTCCACCTTTGCAGTACGTTACCAAATATTTTGATGTCTTTTGCTAGATTTATTTAAAATGCATCAGTTAAATTGAAAAAGTCCCCATTTCATTTTTAGCATTATGTATCATAGAATCATATCTCATGTTAACCAGTTTGATCTGAGGGGGTAGCTATGGTTTTTGTTTTTCTCGTTTTGTTCTGAATTCAATTTAGATAATTAAACAGTGAAAATTTTATTTAAGAAGATTCCATTTTTTTATGCTAGCAACTGGTTATACAGAAAAAAGTGCCCAGTAAATATTAAATACTTGCATTAAACCTTCACTTGTGACCTAAAGACAGTTTGTATCAGAAGTGAAATCTAATAAAATTGACAATGTGCTATGTCCATGTTTTATGTAATGGGGATACAGCAAAGTACTCACACTCCCAGGCCAGCTGTGAGAGCCAAGGTAAGAGTATGAGGAAGGAGCCCAAGAGAGTTCTGAAGATTTCAAATAGCTGGTTTAGGATATGGAGAAAGAGCTTGCCAAAGCTACATGGTAGAATTTTACTGGGCCAGAGGGGCTAAGTGAGATTGGCGACCTTGAGCCTGTCAACATTATCAAAGAATTGAAAGTGCAGAATTCATGGTTGCTGTGCTTGGAAAATACAAGTGTGAATAATCCCTTTGAATTGACCTTACAAAGAATATTTCGGTTCATTATTCCTGCAGTCTCCAGGCAGGTTAAGTAATATGTAATATGAATATTAACAAGTGTAATTAATTGTGTCTCTTTATATAGGTATACAAAGACTAATGGTTAATTACTAACCTGGAAAATTATAAAGCACTTTAAACTATGTCTTAAGTATAAAATTTTTTCACATTATTGTGCTATTAGGCCAAAGACTGGGTTCCAGATGTGGCTGGAAGAAAACAGAAGTAATATTCTGTCTGACAATCCTGACTTATCAGATGAAGCAGACATAATAAAAAAAGGAATTCTTCTATTTAGAGTATTGTCAACTGAAGAAAGGAAGGTAAGGTTAATTGTGCTGAGACTGAGATCTTAGTGAATTCCCAAGTTTTAAAAATCCTTATAGAAAATGCCTTTTTCTCTTTTTGAAAATTGAATATTTTTGAGGGAGAGGAAACTTGGTGGAGAAGAAATTAAATAACCGAAATGTCAACACTGAACATATGGATATGTAGTAGTTATTATTTAGTGCTAATGGTTAATTTTGGGGGCAGGTATACTGTTTACATCTGTATAAGCTCCTGCACATTACAAGTTAGGGGACTACGCCAAAAAAAAAGCATTACTTATAAATTGAAAACAAATAAAATTATTAAGTAAAAATGAAGTTAAGTCATATTTTTTGGACTATTAGGTTCCTTGTAAGCAGAAATCTTTTAAATGCTGTTTACTTTACACTGAATACTAAATGAGAATACTGCTTTTGCAGGGAGAGCTGCTGTTCTGTTTCTGCCTTTCACATGGAAATTAGAACTGGTGTCCTGAACCTGTTACCTCTCATGTAAATTTGCCATGTGAAGGAAGGCTAGGAGCAACTTTCTTTTGCAAGGGAAAGCAATGTGTGTGATGGTGTATTAATTAAATCTCACACTTCACTTCCCTAGGAATGACAGTGTGTGGCATGGGAACCTAGTGACATAGATTCTTGCCTCAATAAACTGGGTTCTATGAATAAAAGTATTGAAAACTTAGGAAGCTAGAAACTGATCTGACCACCTTTAGCCTCCTCTAGAATCTCATAGCAACTTGTGCTTCTCATTTTTTGTAAGTATTTATAAAAGGATAGAAATTCTAAAGAATTAACTAAAATTGCATCTGAATGCATCAGACCTTATGCAGCAGAAGAAACAACTTGGCAAAAGTTGTGATTGTGTTTTCGAATACTTAGAAATGTAATCAGTATTTTTAAGATATATAAACCTTAAACATTTGCTGACATCCAGTCTGTTAATGTGAGAAATTCTATTGCTCAGAGAATCCCTTTTCTACAATAAATAAACGGGAAAGAAAATAAGTTAGTAGTAGGAGGAAATATTATAGATTAAGAGAGATTTAAGAGATGAAATGAGTGAAACTTGTTGGTTAGTGAACAGAGGCCAATCCCAAAAGAATATATACGTATATAACATTCCTGAAATGACAAAGTGATAGGGATGCAGAAAAGTGCTGATTGCCAGCAGTTGGGGCCTGGGTGAAGAGTGGGGGCAGCACGAGGGATCCTTGTGGTGATGGAACTGTTCTGTATCTTGAATATGGTGGTAAATACACAGAATAGAATTAAACGTACACATACAGACTTACACAAATGAGTAGAAGTAAAAAGGGAGATTGTATTGATGTCAATATTCTGGTTTTTTAAGATTCTGCCATTGAGGGAAAGTGAGTAAAGGGTACACAGGATCTTTCTGTATTATTTCCTACAACTACCTGTGCATCTACAATCTCAAAATGAAAAGTTTCATTTTTAAAAAGTACCTGCAGGTTTAGTATTTTGCACTTGATATGGTTAAATACAAGCCAAGTATAGATTGAAATATTAGAGATAGAATGTGATTTTTTTAATATGTTTTGCAATTAAGTAATAAGAAATTTAACAATGAGAATCCTTAATGATTAGCTTAATAAATGCTAATTATGCTACTTTATGTTACCTGGAAAAGTAAAGAAATAATTTTCTTCCTATTTATTTGTTATTGCATAAAATCTTTTCTCCAATATTTTTATAAAGGCATGGGCTATCAAGGCTAAAGGAGAAACTGCAAGTGATGTTGCTGAAACAAAGAAGCGAAAATTTGTGGATGAAAGTCAGGAAACTGAAAACCAGAAAGAAAAAGCAACGGAGAATCTGAATTTGCCTAAAAAGCAAAAACCTTTAGATCTTTCTACGAATCAGAAACTGTCAGCTTTTGCATTTAAGCAGGAATAGAGTAAGGAAGTGGCCTTAGGAAAGTAATGGATTTTTTTTTTTCACTCATCTTTGATGAATCTGGACTTTTAAAAAATCTTTAGAAAATGCTGTATATTTTTAAAAGAGTTTAAAGACAATTGTTTGTCTTTATAATATAGTAATTATACTGGTGTAGGTAGCAGGGAACATGTAAAAACTATCACCTCTGCAGATTGCTCTGCCCCAAAATTGAGGCCACCCAGAAGCATTGTGATTGTTGTGGTCACTGACTTGACTAGCATGTCCCAGTGGAAGCCAGTTTGATTTTGTTTCTTACCTTCAAAATCATCAAAGCCAAGGTCTTAACACCTCTAAGCACTGAAATACCTTGTCGGGATTTCCTCTTTTGGTTTTTTGTCAGGTACTGGGAAGTACTACAGTAGTCTCTTGCCAAGCATTACCATAGATGGCTCTCTTTGTCTAATCGGGACCTAGGGGACCGTGTTTTTTAATATGGGGCCTAAGCATGTATATAATTTTGTAGATGAGATATTTTTGTTTTGGAAATTTTTCGTATATGGCTTTCAATTGTATAGCCTAGTTTTTAAAAAATAAAACTTTTACTTTTTCATATTTAGTTTGATATGGCCTTAGCATTGTATTTCCATGAATTGGGAATGTTTTTAGAAAGTGTATTTTATATTTATATCCATAATTTCCTCCCATCATCCCCATCCTCCTATACATTATAAAAGAGAAGAATCGAAGATAGTGTTTTGATAGGATCACAGCCCAGGGCATAGTGCTCCTGGTAATGTGCTCTGGCTGTCAGCATCAATAGTACTTTTTCCGAGCAAGTCTTTGAAGCCTTGATAAGAGTACTAGTAAAGGGTTAGGGAAAAAAGTTTTACATTTTGTGTTCTGTCATGTAGCATAGCCACAAGTTTGGTTTTATGTGGGCCTAAAATTCTAACTAAACTCCAGACTTTCGAGAGTCATTTTGGAGAAAGCCTGTGTGAAATATTTTAACTTAATAAAACTGATGAGAGCAAAGGAGAACAAAACCTATCATAAAGCAGGTATATGTAGAAGCCATTTTTATCTCAGGTGTGTCTTCTTCAACAGACCAAGCCGTAATGCAGTATTGATTTGACAGAGCCTCTACTTTAATGATGTCTGTCTCAAAATGGCTCTGAATTATTTCTCCACTGCAAAATAAAGCCAAACTCTGGAAGTCAAGAAACAAAAGTGTTATGGAAAGTGTTTAACTCCTCTTCTATTTTGAGCAAACAAGATTTAATTATTTCATACACTTTTGGTTATTATTCTAAGCAGAGCTTAACACACATGCAGCGACTTAATGAGGGCAAGATACAGGGGCAGGGACGGGTGGATAGTAAAATAAAATCAAAATCTAATAGTTTTATAGATTAGAAGGAACAAAACATTGAAAATTTAGATGGATAGTACTTATAATGATTAAGGTTAGGAAGGAATGAATACATTTCATATTTTTAAATTAGTAGTTGGTATTGAGAGACATTATAGCACAGTGATTAGGAGCACAGATTTCAAAGCCAGACCACCCTGGTTTGAAAACCCATCGTAGTAGATACCAGCTGAATAACCTTGGACAAGTTTAGCCTTTGCCCACTCATCTGTCAAATGGGTATAATAATAGTATCTGTCTCATAGGGTTATTGTGAGACTTAAATGAGATAAAAGCACTTAGTTCCTGGTACACAGTGATGTTTAAATGTCATCTATCATGCTATTGGCTATTGCACCTTTCTTTGCCGTTCAGTTTGATTTGGAGTGAATTAATTTTGATTTCAAGATCCTGAAGTAACAGTTTACTTATAATACTTGGGAAAGCATGTTTGTAGACATGTCCTTTATTCCCTTAACTTGCTGTCGTACATAGTTTATAATGTCCAAGGGTGTACTCCTTGAGTGTTCTGTTTCAGATCCTTAGGAACCTGTAATACCAAGGATTCGCAAAGGGTTTTTTTAGTCTCCTCTTTTATTTGGTTGAAGGAAAGTTTTTGTATTGACTTGGTTTAACTTACAAATCAGAACATTGAAACCAAGTAACATTACCCTTATTCCTTTGCTATATAAGATTAAACCTCTTTAAGAAAATTTTTTTTTTTCCAGAGAATTTGGGCTTAATGGTAGGAAAATGGAAAGGTAAGTAAACTAATATATTTGTTATTTGCTAATATAATAAACCACTATCATGGTATCAATAATATCACCTATTCTGAGCTTATTATGTGCTGTAGAAAGTTGTTATGTGCTAAACTTTAGTCTCCAATAGCAAAAACTTATCAAAGAGTGTTATTTTATAGCTTTACGCTCATCAAAAGGACATTATCTAATTATTCCAGAGAGCAAGCGAGAGAGCATTGGCTTACGCCTGCCAGCTATGGGGACTGTGGTAATCTACAGCCTCTCCTATCAGTGCAACAGCCTGGTGGGCCACTGTCGCTAGCATGGCACAGAGCCCTTAGACAAAAGGATGAGACCCATCATGTTGAAAGCATCTTAATCAGTGACTGGTTGTCTTACAGGCTTTTTTTTTGTTTTCCAGCTCTTTTATTATAGGAGTGTATAATTTTCCCCCAGGTTTTTATTTTGAAAAATTTCAAACCTACAGAAAATTACGAATAGGACAGTGAACACACATATACCCTTTATCTAGATTGACTTATTATTGACATTTTGCCTTATATGCTTTATAAACAGGGTTTTTCCTGAACCATTTGAAATTAGCATCGTGGCACTTCACCCCTCAGTACTACATGTATCCCCTAAGAACAAAGACATTCTTCTACGTAACTATAATATCATTATACCAAAGAAACCTACCACAAGAGTATTATTGCCTAACGTATATTTCATATTAGAATTTCTCCCAAAGTGCCCTTTAGCTTTCCCTCCACCCCCAATGTAGGATCAACCAAGATTCTTGCATTTCATTTAATTACTAGAAATAAATACTTTTTAATACAGGAAAGAATGAGGAAAAGCATACCTCTGATCCTAATAACCAGAGATACCACTGTTAACATTTGGGTGTATGTCATTAGGCTTTTTTCTGTGCGTGTGTTCTTTTTTTTTCCCCCCCACATAGGTATAGAGTACAAATTCATACTCCATAGAGATGTTTAAAAAATAAAAAAACAACAACTGAAGCCTAAAATTTAAAATGTGGCCTTTTGCTGGTAGTAGTCCTGTGATTGATATTAATTTTTACCTACTCTGGAAATGTGTCATAAAGGGCAGAAACTGATGGTATAGAAAATAAACGTAATGGAATCAGAAGCCAAAAGTTGATTCTTTGACAGACTAATAAATTAGAAAAATATAAAGGCAAGATTAATCATGATGAAAAGAGAAATACAAATAAGTGATATTAGGAATGCAAAAGAATTTATTAACTACAAATGGTACATACTTTAAAAAGATAAAGAGGCTTATGATAGTTTTATGTGTCAATGGGCAAGGCTATAGTTGCCAGTTATTCAGTCAAACACTAACCTATGTGTTGCTATGAAGATATTTTATAGATTGTGTTAAAGTCCATAGTCGGTTGACTTTAAGTGAGATTATCCTTGATAATATGTGTGGACCTGATTTAATCAGTTGAAAGCCCTTAGGAGCAGAACAGGCTTCTGTAAGGGAGAAGAAATTATACCTGTAGTGCCAGCTTCAGCTCATGCCTGAGATTCCCAACCTGCCCTTCCTGGAAGTCTACCCTATAGATTCAGGGTTTTAGACTTGCCTACCAGCCTCCACAATTGTGTGAGTCGATTCCTTGCAATAAATCTCTTAACATATATTATCTCCTACTGGTTGTGTCTCTAGTTGAACACTGATTAATTCAAGACTTTTAAATAACTTTATTACAATAAATTTTGATAAACCAAGTGCTTAACAAAAACCGAGCTTATTAAAACTGACTCAAAACATCCAAAAGACTAAAATACTTAGGAATGAATTTAACAAGTAAGTGCAAAACTTATACTTTGAACTGCTAAACATGTTGAAAGAGATAAAAGACCTAAATAAATGCAGAGACATCCTGTGTTCATAGAAGGCTTTAATACTGATGAGATGGCAATACTCCCCAAATTGACCTATAGATTCAATGCAGTGCTTATCAAAACCCCAGCTGGCTTCTTTGCAGAAAATGACAAGCTGATCCTAAAATTCATTTGGAAATTCAAGGGACCCAAAATAGCCAAAACAATCTTGAAAAAAACAAGTTGGAGGATTCACATTTGCCAATTTCAAAACTTACTGTGAAGCTACAATAATCAAGACGGTGTGGTACTGGCATTAGAATATACCTATAGATCAATGGAATGGAATTGAGAGTCCAGAAATAAATTCTCATATTTATAATCAACTGATTTTTGACAAGGTTGCGAGGACAATTTAATGGAGGAAGGATAGTCTTTTCCATAAATTGTGCTGAGACAGCTAGGCATATGCAAAAGAATGAAATTAGACACCTGGTTCACACCATATAAAAAAATCCCAAATGGATGAAGACCCAAATGTAAGTGCTAAAACTAAATTTCTTTTAAGATTCTTAGGCATAAATCTTTGTGATCTTGGACTAAGCAATGGTTTCCTAGATATAACACCAGAAACAAGCAACAAAAGAAAAAAATAGACGAAGTCAACATCAAAATTAAAAATTTTGTGCTTCAGAGACCACCATCAACAAAAAAAAAGCACACAATGGGAAAAAATTTTGCAAATCATATCTGATAAGGGATGTGTATCCAGAATATATAAACAACTCTTAAAAGTGGACAAATAACCCAATGGGCAAAGGACTTGAATAGGCATTTCTTCAAAGGTGATATACAAATGGCCAATAAGCACAGGAAAAGGTGCTAAATATCTTAGCCATCTGGAAAATACAAATCAAAACCACAAAGAGATATCACTTTACACCCACTGGGATAGATATAATGAAAAAGGTGGAGAATAACGTGTTGGTAAGGATGTGGAGAAATTGGAACCTTCAGGCGTTGTTGGTAGGAATGTAAACTGGTGGTTTGGCAGTTTCTCAAAATGTTAAATGGTTATATGACTCAACATTTCTACAACTAGGTGTAAACTCAGTAGTAAGGAAACGTCCACACAAAATCTTGTACAGGACTATTTAAAGCACCGTGATTTACAATAGCCCCAAAGTAAAATGTCCAAGTGATGAACGGATAAACAAGGTGGCGTATCCATACAATGAGATATTTTTTGGCAATAAAAAGAAATGAAGTACTGATACATGTTACAGCATGGATGAACTATAAAAATATGCTAAGTGAAAAAAGCCAGTCAAAAAGACTGTATATGATGATTCTATTTATATAAAATGTCCAGAACAGGCAGATCTATAGAGACAAAGTAGAGTGGTGGTTGCCTAAGGCTAGGGGTTAAGAAGAAAGAGTGAACGACTGCTCATGGGTTTAGGGTTTCTTTTTGGAGCCATGAAAATGTCCTGGAATTGGTGGTGGTGGTTACACAGTTCTGAATTTCCTGCAAACTACTGAATTGTACACTTAAGTGGGTGAGTGTATGTTATGTGAATTATGTCTCTAAAGTTGTTATAAAACTGAC